TCCAGAAGAGATAGTAATCCGCTCCGGAGGAAGATAACACCATCCAGATCCTCAACTTATCTCTGTAATTTTTCATACTTAAAGACCAGGATGCACTAAAAAATTTATCAGCCTTATCAGGAAACAAGACCAAATGGTGGAAAACCAAGAGGGGGAAAAAAAAAACCCACACACATACCAAACAACAGAGTAGAGACATACAGATAAATCCAGATATCGGAGTTATCAGAAAAGATGTACTATATGTACAGACGGGAATAATAGACTTCCAAATATGTCTATGTCCTAATTTCCAAACCTATGTTTATGATAACGTATGATTATGTTACCTTACCTGTTTAAAGGGACTCTGTGGATGTGATTAAGTTAAGGTTCTTGAGAAAGGGAGATTATGGTGTATTGTCTGGATGGGCCCAGTGTAATTGCAAGGGTCCTTATAAGAGGAAGTCAGGAGAATCAGTGTCACTAGTAGATGTGATGGCAGAAGAGACTGGAATAATGCATGGAAGCCAAAAAAGGCAGGAAAGTGGATTCTCCCCTCAGTGTCTCCAGGAGGGACCAGCCTGGCCAAGACCTTGATTTTAGCATGGTGAGATTCATGTCGGACTTCTGATCTCCCCAGGTGTAAGATAATAAATCCGTGCTGTTTTAAGCCACTGAGTTTGTGGCAATTTTTTACAGCCATAATAGGAAAATAGTACATAGCCTAACAGGGGATACAGTTATACAAACATACAATTTCAAAATAAATACTGTGGAGGCACAGGGCTGGAGTGCTCAGTGCAACCCGGGATCCACAGAATCAGGTATGATGGTAACCTACACGATCCCATAATCATTGGTCATCCATGAGTATAGGAATCCAAAAACCCAGCTGAATGGCAGATTTTTGGAATAATCAGGAGGCTGAAACAAAACTTCATTGTATCTCTAATTAAGAAGTTTGATTTGATGAACATAGTACTCTGCATTCAATACTTAAAGAACACCTCTTTTTTTTCAGGCTCACATCCATTTTCTCATTTCACCACTTATTAGGCTACAAATTAGGATATAAAGGAAGTCTCATAATATTTGAAAGAATCGATATCACACAGACCATCATCTCTGACCATATGAAATTGGGTTAGATATCAATTTTGAATGATAAATCAAAAATCCCCATGCATTTGGAAATTGAAAAACACATTCAAAAGCACAATAAAAATAATTACTATGTCAAAGAAAAACATTTAATGAATATTGAACTTAATAAAAATGTCCAGATGGTAGTGAGCTAGAAAGCTCTAGGAGCCGTCTGTAGGATGATGAAATTAATGGAGCACCTCAGGCATCTGAACATCCTGAGAGGAAATTTAGACAATTGGTGAAGACTTTCAGGTTGAATTGGTAAAAACAAAACTAAGCAAACAACATTAAAAAAACCCCAAAATAATTATGCCAGGAAAAACAAAAAGCTTTGCATGGAAAAAATATCATAGTCTACTACATGGCTCAACTATGAGTTGCGTTAATAGAGTCATAACGCTGAATATTGACCTACCAAAATTATTATATAACTATATTGGAAAAAGGGTGGGATGGCAGAGATATGGATGATGGGGTGAGGGGATAAAGATAGTTACATCCTCATCTCCCATGGTGGGAAGACAATATATAATTCCCAAAGTTGAAAATTAAAGAATATTGTCATTATGCTATTTAGAGAAACGGAAGTAAGTATTAAAATAATCAACTAAGAGAGATAGAAATGGTTGCCTTTGGGGACAGGAAAATGGGGGAGGGGGTGGGTGAGACTTTGCTGTTTTTCATAATAAACTTTGTATAACTGTATGATTCTAGACCAGGGGTTGGCAAATCTTTTCTGTAAAGGACTAGACAGTAAACATTCTAGGCTTTGCAGGCCATATGTTCTCTGTTGCAGATTGGAAAAAGCCTTGTATTCCATCCTATGAAGTGTAAACTCCATGCCAAGGACAATGGAATTCATTGATGGACTTAAAGTGGGGCATTCCCTGATCAGATAGGTTTTGAGAAACTGCACTCAGTGGTGTGGACAATGCAAAGAAAAGATCTGTCATGATAGGTTTAGGAAGACTCAGACTCCTGTCCAGGTGAGAGATTATTTTGTAAAGAAATATATGAATTACCATATTAGGTACCTTTTTGACAGATACACATAGGACTCTGACAAATTACTAAGAGAAATGCCTTTAGTGAATTATTACCATAGATTTTCTATTGTAGGAAACATACTTTAAATGTATATTAAGAAACAAGTTCACCAAGACCTTAGCACTGTTTTATACACACACACACACACACACACACACTCACTATGTTTTGGTACAGAATAAACTGGTACTTAAGTTGTGGGTATAAGGGTTAACGGCAAGGTGCCAGAGGGCAGGCACATTCTGAAGGCAACTGTTCTAAAGTTCTTTGAAGCTCTCAAAATAGCACAATACTTCCCCTTCTAGTTCCAAGCTTGCCTTTCAGAAAGTACTGTTAAGAATGAAGAAAAGTAGAAAGAAGGATATTTAATTTTTCAAAATGATTATTTGCCTTTGATAGCCTAGGCCTGGGAAATATAGAACATCTGTTGTAATAAATAACTTTCAGAGAGCACATTTCAGTTTATAGTGAATGTGCTTTATTTATTTATTTAGGATGTGGACCGTTTTTAATATTTATTTTTATTATTTATTTATTTAGGCTGCGCTGGGTCTTAGCTGCAGCACATGGGATCTCCGTTGCGGCATGTGGGATCTTTAGTTGCAACATGCGAATTCTTAGTTGAGGCATGCATGTGGAATCTAGTTCCCCAACCAGGGATTGAACCCAGGCCCCCCGCGGAGTCTTACCCACTGGACCACCAGGGAAGTCCCTGAATGTGCTTTAGATTTAGTATCTAACTTGTAATTCTCTCATACATTTGTAAATTCTAGGCATAGAATTTGATTTAAAGATATGTAAGTTCAAGACAGGCAATCCCTGACATGTTCACATTGCTATATTTAATATGGATAACCAACTGAGGACCTACTGTATAGCACAGGGGACTCTGCTCAATAATATGTAATGGCCTAGATGGGAAAAAAATTAGAAAAAGAACAGATACCTGTATATGTGTAACTGAGTCACTTTGCTGTATACCTGCAACTCACAACATTATTAATCAACTATACTCCAATATAAAATAAAAAGTTAAAAAAAGAGGCAATCCCTGAGATTTCTTTTAAAATTAAGGATATGATGAGTCAGAACAGCAAACATTTCTATAGTATGTGGCTGGCATTGCTCTATGCCTCTTACATGTATGAACTAAATTAGTCCTCATAACAATCCTATGAGGAGTTTACTATTATTATTCCCACTTTACAAATGAGGAAATTGAAGCAGAGGTTAAATTACTTGGCCCAAAACCCCATGGCTAGTAAGTGGCAGAGCTATGATTTGGACCTACACAATTTGACTGTAGAAACTTGTGTTTTTGATTATTACATGACACTGCCTCTTGCACTGATTTAATAGATTAGTGGATATGCAGATTCAAATTGCTCTGACCTGTAATTTCAATGTACCATAATGAGCTATTGGGAGATTAATTACAGTGATTAACACAAATGTGAAGAATACAGCAAAGTCAAACTCATGATCACACATAAGTAAAAGGAAAAATGTCTGCCAACCGTGAGGCACTGATGTTACCTGTCATTTTCAAGTTGCCTTTCTTTTTTCCTTTCTAAAATGCCCACTAAGACTGCAAGCACCATAGGGGTGGGACCCACCTTTCTTGTCTGTTTTTTCATAATAATCTCTGCATCTAGCATGGTACCTGGTACCTAGTGGGCACTCAAATATTTGACCTACTGCAGATTCAAGGGCCTCAGGGAATGCTCTTTCAAGAGGCCGTTTACTATCTTTGATTAAGTTAGTTATTTTTGGTCCTTTTTAAGACTACAGAAGACCTTCATAAATTCTCACTGTTAAAGATTTAAAAACATGTAAGTAGACACAGTAAAACTTGAAAATTCACTTTCTAATCACCAACACATACTCTTTTCCAGTTGACAACTGTCCTGTTTGGTGTGATCTGAGTTCTCTTTCTATGCATCTACATGCACATATGCCAGTACACGTTTATATAAATATACAAATGTAACCACAAATACACATTTTTCTCCTGTCAGTTTCTCATGTCTCTATAAACCTACTTCATTTCTTTTAACAGTTATCTAGTATTTCGTAGTATGGCCATATTAAACTTTATGTAATTACTCCCTATTCATGGACGTTTACCTGGATTCTTACTAGTATCTATTAAAAACCATGCAGCAATGAACACTGCTGTGCAAATACTTGTAGACACGTAGCCTTACTGGGTAACACGGATCCTTGTTCACCGAAAAGCCAGTTAGTGGGTAGGTACCTTTTACAACCCACTTAAACAGAGCTTCTTCTTCCCCTCTGCCTTTTTAAGAAGAGGTGGGTAGAGAGCCGGTGAGCGCAATATTAGCAGAGAAGTAAAATTCCTCGCTTAAGGTGTTCGTAAAGTCAAGTCCTCCTCTTGCACACGGCTTTTTTTCTCAAGAACAATCTGCATAAGGCGTGCAGAACAAGAGGTCGGACGGTGACTACCGGGAAGACGTAGGATAAACGGGCTTCTGGGAAGAAGCGCCTGGACGGCGACGTCCTAGAGAACCGCGTCTGCTGAGCCCCGACCCCATCAATTTTGCCCTTTTTAGGCTAGACTGAGGGAGCACTTCTCCTAGTATTAAAAATGGCCCGAAGATAGCAGAGCGAAATTGAAGGTATTGATGTGGCGTGAAAAGTGAACTGAACAGTGGCGAGGCCCAAACAGCAACGGGAGGACACCGCGAGGACCACCGCCGGCGCCGCGGCAGCCTCCTCGAGCCACCACGGAGGACTCACTTTCCCAGCGGCCCCCGCGACCCGCCGGGGCAACGAGCCCGGCCGGCCCTCGCGAGTGGGGGCGGGACTGAAGCCGGAAGTCACGTGCGGTTACAGCCGCCCGGGTGAGGCCGCCGTCGTCGCCAAGGCTGTTTGGGGCTGTGACTGTGGGAGGCACCGGAGTGATGGCGGTGGAGACTCTGTCCCCGGACTGGGAGTTCGACCGCGTTGACGACGGCTCACAGAGTAAGGGAGCGGCAGGCAAGGGTTGCGGGTGGACGCTCCCCGGCCCGCCTCAGCCCCGGCAGCGCTCCTGCGGGAGGGCTCTGCGTCGCTGTGGGCGCGCAGCCGTCCACTTCGGGACATTTTCTGCGCCTCGGGGTGTGAGAGGGACGCGCTCGCGAACCTAACTTTCCGGGTTGGGATCCCCGGCGATGCTGGGTCAGTCCCGGCCACGGCTCGGCCTTCGGGGCGGTGACTGTCCTGGGGAGCCCGCTGTGGTCCTGGGGAGCCCGCTGTGGCCCGGGGGGGCGCGGCGTCCACTTCGTGCAGCCGGGGGCTCGGGCGGGGCGCGCCCGGGGAGGGCCCGCAGCCCGGGGAGCGGAGGCTGCCTTGTCTCTGGCCGCCCGGGGCTTTCGCCAGATCTTCAAAGCGTGCAGTGGTAGGTGAGGCTGAGGTCCAGGTTCCTGTTTCGGTTTCCTGTCTTTCTTCGTTTTCCTCCCAAACCAACTTTTGGAAGTTTGAGTGTTTTTACCTTCATATTCATATGCTTATCTTCTCTAGAAGATAGCGAAAAAGAACTCATTTCGCGGTAAAAAAATAAACACGTGAATGTCAAGTTTATCTCCTCCCATGCCTTTTATTTACGTTAAGTGGTATTTTTCAAAAGTGATGTCCTGTAGTTTCCAGCGCACCTAAAAAGGTTTCAGAAATTACAGCAAATCTGCTTCCGATTTTACTTAATAAAATTGGATTGTCTCATTTTAACCTAGCAAATTCAGTTCCACGCAGCAAAATTTAGAGGCCAAACTATTTCAGTGAAACTTTACCTAAGATGAATGCAAATTGGTGATCTGTTTCTGACCTTTGGTGATATGAATCTGCGTAGGTGATATAAGAGAGATTGGAACATACTGCTTGTGAATTTGTTTTTTTAATGTAGTTTTCTCAAAAGGTGAATGTAATTTTTAAAAATTAGGGGTAGGGCTTCCCTGGTGGTGCAGTGGTTAAGAATCTGCCTGCCAATGCAGGGGACACTGGTTCCATCCCTGGTCCGGGAAGATCCCACATGCCGCAGAGCAACTAAGCCCGTGCGCCACAAGTACTGAGCCTGCGCTCCAGAGCCCGCGAGCCACAACTACTGAAGCCTGCGCGCCACAACTATTGAAGCCCGCGCGCCTAGAGCCCGTGCTCTGTAGCAAGAGAAGCCACTGCAGTGAGAAGCCCACACACCGCAACTAAGAAGAGTAGCCCCCCGCTTGCTGCAACTAGAGAAAGCCTGCGCGCAGCAACGAAGACCCATTGCAGCCCAAAATAATAATAAAATAAATAAATTTATTCTAAAAAATTACGTGTAAATTTTGCATAATTTTACAAAAGACAGGCACATTAGATGTAATTAGGTTTTATTAGCCTCTCAAAGAAGCATGAGCTTAATTCAGGATGGTTAGCAGTTTTTCACAAAACATTCCATAAGTTATAAGCTCCTATGCAGCATGAAAAAATGATCCTGGTGGTATTGAATCTTTCAACTTGTTTACAGAGAAGATAACGGTACTTACTGTTAAAGTGAACTGCACCTTGTCATGTATGAAGTTTTATGGACAGAGGTTCCCTACTTTAGTATCTGCAAAATATTGGAATGAAAATATGTTTTGGGTTTGAAAAATGGTTCAATCAGAATGATCTGATTCACTCAAAAGACTTTTTCCACATGCCAGGAACTGTGGTAGGTATTAGGGATACAAAGATAAAACAAGGAATTAAGTCTGTTGGAAGAGATAAGCATGTAAATAGGTTTTTGCATTTTTTACTCTTGAAGAATCATTATGGAGTTCTTATTTCAAATCTTTTTATTTTAACTTTTACCAACTTAAAAATTTATCAGCAAGGAATGTTAATGTTATTACAGGTTTTCTCTTGCCTGCTACTTTATGAATTTCCAAACAGACTAAATGAATAATTCATTGGCATGTTTTTCTAGCATTGCCATTAAGAACTCATTTGCTGTTTAAACGCAGCTTTGGTCATTTCCCACGTAACTGAAAATTAGACATGTACTTGGGATTTCGAGAATCTTAATGCAGTTTTAAAAATTTAAGCTGTAGGGAAGAGAGGACTTCTCTTCTCTGTGCCTTGTTTTCATTAATTTTTGGAATATGAATCATATCTAGACTAATTTTTTTCCAGAATTGCCTAGATTAATACTATAATGAGATGGGAACCATAATGAACTAATTGATCCACCTGATTTGGAGCATTAGTTGCAAAATAGGGGAGAATGTGAAGCTAGGTCTTTATCCTTAATGAGTTAGAACATACCTTATCTTAGAGTTGCTTGGCATTGCTAATTTGAGGAGAGAAAATTTTTACTTTTTTTTAGAAGACAGCGATGGAATAAAGTAATTCACATCAATAAAAGAAACTGAGTTGGAGTTGAATTTGCTGCCTTTGGAATGAGTAATGAATTCTTATGTTTAATTCTTTATGTTTAATTCTTATGTTTAAAACCTTATGTTTAAGGTGGAATATTTACTGTCATTAACTTCGCTGAGTAGGCAAACTTTTATTGTCCAGTTTATTCCAGTGAGTTCCTAGAGTCATCTATTAATGTGTAAATTCTGTAAATATCAGCACAGTATTCTGTACTCACTGTCCTTTAGTGGCTTTTCCAATTCTGTTATGATAGTTAAATAATTAAAACAAAATATCTTGGTAAATTTGAGGCATTACAGGAATAATATGATGAAGCAGGTCTAAAACCATTTAAAAAACAATATTTAGGTGTATTTTTAGATGTAGTTTACCGTGTAATTAAGCATTACATTTTAAAATTTTGCTTCTATGACAACACAGATTTTTGCACCTAAATCAGGTCATGATTTTTTTTTTTTTTTTGCACAAAAAAGTTGTTTATGACTGAAACATAGAATCAGGACATTGAATTGTCTAAGGCATTATTCACATATTTTAGATTTTGGAGTAAACGGTATAGTAACTTTTTCATAGTATTTTAAAGTTGCAGTTTTAAGATGATATCTCTAAGTGGTAACATCTACTGTTTTTTACAATTATCGTATCTGTTTGGAAAAGATTGAAAGTTCAGTTATTGTTTAACTTTAAAACTTTATTTTCAAGAAGTCCAGACATTCCGAAGTGATACATTAACAATGCTTAGTATCTACTTTGCTGTGACTTTTGAGATTATTTGAAGTAAATGTCTTGTAATTCATTACTTATACTTCTTACAAACTTTTAAAATTTAAATTTAGAAATTCATGCTGAAGTCCAGCTTAAGAATTATGGGAAATTTCTTGAGGAGTATACCTCTCAGTTGAGAAGAATTGAGGACGCACTGGATGATTCAATTGGAGATGTTTGGGATTTCAATCTTGATCCTATAGCATTAAAGGTTTGATTTTGTTTTATTTTTTAATTTATGTATACTTTTTAAGGACACACTGTATCTTGAAAACAGTTTTCAAAATTGGGATATGTATTTTTATTATTTGGAATCTAAAAGAACTAAAATAAACTTGGAGAAAATGGTTAATTTCCGTTTCTCTAAGCCATGCATGTATTTTTGTTTTCCTTTTTAAAGAATGACACAAACTCAAAGTCTTCAGTGTCAAAGAATGACACGAACTCCAACTCTTTGAGCTAACTTGTTTTTCATTATCAAGAAAATGAAGAGGATTGGAATAGCATATTGAAGCTTTACTTGTTTTTTTTATTGAGGTTATTTTACATACAGTGAGAAGCATAGATTTAAAATACTGTTCAGTGAATTTTACCAAGCACCTATTCCCATGTATCTCATATCCCAATCAAGATACTGAATATTTCCATGATTTCCCAAAAGCTCCCTTATGCTATTTAGGGGACCTTAATATGGGAGTGATTTTTTTAAGATATAAAATAAGTCACTCCTGCTCTGTTCCATTTTGAGGTAGTTCTGTTTTATCTTTGAAACTGTTGGCGCTTAAGTCATAGCTAACATTTATTGAGTACTTATTATGTGCTAGACAACTGTGCTAAGTCGCATGTTGACTTACTTTAATAACAGCTTTCCTGAGATGTAATTCATATATCGTACAATTCTTTGGTTTTTACTGTATTCATAGAATTGTGTCACCATCACCAGAGTCAACTTTAGAACATTTTCACCAGCCCAAAAAGAAATCCCATAGCCATTAGCAGTCACTGCCCATCTGGTGTGGTGCTAGTGCTGAGTACAGGGTCGAACACAAATTTCCGTAGAAGAGAGATAGTCTCTCAGTTTGTGTATTTAGAATTTTCATGATTTTTTTCAAATTAAAAAGAAATTTTATTTTCCTTTGTTTCTATAGCTTTTGCCTTATGAACAGTCTTCCCTTTTGGAACTCATAAAGACTGAAAACAAGGTACAGATTCCTAAACCTAAAAATTTATTTTTAAAATGCTTTAGTTATCTGCTATAATTTACTTTTTTCCTTTTGTGTTTTTACTCATGAAACTAGGTCTTAAACAAAGTCATCACTGTTTATGCTGCACTTTGTTGTGAAATCAAGAAATTAAAATATGAGGTAATTATTTGTACTCTTAAGACCTTAAAAACATGATTTAAAAGCAAATATGTGCTTATATGTGTACAGTGTGCATAAATATTTAGTGAATGTTGAATGAACTGTATATTTATAATAGTAGTAATAATGAGTACCATTCACTGGGTGTTTACTGTGTACCAAACATCATGCTAACCCCGTTAATGCTAATAACCACCCAGGAGGTACGTGAGGAATAGATGAGGAAACCGAAGCTGAAAGAGTGTCACTCAACCTAACATTTTACTGGTAATAATGGTTTGAGTCTGGGTCTGCATTCCTTCTGTGTTACTTGTCATATATAATGGCTTTCTGGATATAACTGATTTTTTTTTAAAGCTTTGCATTTTTAATATGTTCTGTGTTTCCTCACCCATGAGCCATTAAAACTCTGGTAGAAGATGGTAAACTTCATCTTTTTTTCTCTACCTTTTTGATACTATGTGGTTGCTTTTTCTCTCATGAACTAGTGGGAGGATGTGGGAAATTACAGAGTGGTCAGATAAGACAAAGTAAAGGCTAAAGAAATCAAGAAATAAGGTTGAGTATCAGTAAGATCTTTGGTACTCTAAAGATAAATTACATTTACCTATATTGCAAGCAGTTTTTGAATTTAAGTGAATTTATGTATGTGATGTAGTCAGCTGCTTACTATTAAATAGGGATAACTAAGAGAGCTTAGGAATTTAAAAACAAAATAGCAACCTTATAAAATTATTTTAATTTTTTTTAAACAGGCTGAAACTAAATTTTACAATGGTCTCTTGTTTTATGGAGAAGGAGGTAAGTTTTAAAATTTCACATTGTAATGTTGTGATGCTTTTTTTTGCGATTGAAATGAACAAAAAGTTAACTGGCAATTCTAGGACTGTCATGATCATGTGAAGTATTAGTGTGAGAAAATTAACATTCAGATTTTTTGTCGGTTTATATTTTTGTTTGGTAAACAGGTAAAAAAAACCTCAGTGATGAAGCAGCAGCAAATTCTGTATGAAGTTTATTTTGATATTTTTATAAATTACAAAGCACTGTAGCTAGATGAGGATTTTCCTTGAATTCATTAAATAGTGAAACAGATGGTTACTTTTAATTGTGTGATTAATGATTGTTTCATTTTTCTCTTCAGTGTAAAAATTCTGTTTTCAATACTATGCAGATTAGAAGATGTCCTAATGAATAAAAATCACATTTTTTCTGTTGGTGTTGATTAAAATAAAAAATTGAAATATTCTTCATGTTGCCTTTTAAAGCTACAGATTCCAGCATGGTGGAAGGCGATTGCCAAATCCAGATGGGGAGATTTATTTCATTCTTACAGGTAAATGGTTTTTACTTTTTATTGAGCCTTTTCTTTGAAAAGTTTGAGTAAATCACACATAATCAGAAAAGAGTTATGAAACCTTCAAATGCTAAGAATGTGTACTGTGAGGGTAAGATACTTAGTTGGAGATGGATTAAATTGATAGTTAAGGAGATTGTAATTCCTGGAAGATTTTCATAGCATTTTTAGTAAGATAAGCTATCAAAATAAGTTTCTTTGTATAATTTCATTTATGGACAGTTTATCACCATGCCTTTTAAAATAATTTAAATTTTGTACCTGGTAGGAAAGGATACTTTATGTTTGAAAAAGTTGTTAATGGAGATCATTAAGCTGTTATGTGAGCTATGATGAGGTTTAAAAGCAGCAGCACATGATGCTTCTAACCAGATGTTTCAGTTTAGATATGCTTTTCATCACTGCAAAGTTTTAGTTATTCTAGGTCTTTTGGTTTATCAAAAGAATGAAATAACTTCTGTTTCTCTGTTATAAAAGCAATGCTTATATAATATGAAAAAGGCAAAAATTGGAGATAAGGGAACAGTACTCATAATCTCACTTACCTTTTGATGGTTGGATATAAGATTTGATATATTTCATTGAATCACGCATGCTACTATATTCAAATCTTTTATATCTTTACTACTTTTTTTGGTCTTCTTACCTAACAGAGCATTTTGTTGAAAGTATCCTCTATGATGGTTTGTGTCAGTCAGGGTTCAGTCCAGAAAACAAATCACATGAGGTAGGGGAGATTTAATAGAGCTACCATATGATCCAGCAATGCCACTCCTGGGCATATATTCTGAAAGACAAAAACTCTAATTCAAAAAGATACATGCACCCCAGTGATACAGCATTATTTATAATTGCCAAGTTATGAAAGCAACCTAAGTGTCCATCAACAGATGAATGGATAAAGAAGATGTGGTACATATATACAAAAATGGAATAATACTCATCCATAGAAAAGAGTGAAATAATGCCATTTGCAGCAACAGAGCTGGACCTAGAGATTTTCATACTAAGTGAAGTAAGTCAGACAGAGAGAGACAAATATTATGTGATATCACTTATATGTGGAACCTAAAAAATAATACAAATGAATTTGTTTACAAAACTGAAACAAACTCACAAATAGAAAACAAACTTATGGTTGCCAAAGGGGAAAGGTGGTGGGGAGCGATAAATTAGGAGCTTGGGATTAACAGATACACAATACTATACATAAAATAGGTAAACAACAAGGATTTACTGTATAGCACAGGGAACTATACTCAATCTTTTGTAATAACCTATAATGGAAGAGAATCTGAAAAAAATATATATAATTGAATCACTTTGCTGTACATCTGAAACTAACAGTATTATAAATCAACTATACTTCAATTAAAGAAAGAGAAAAAAAAAGGAGGAGATTTAATATAGAGAATTGGTTCCATAAGAATTGGAGGGCTGAAAGAAAAAACAGTGAGGTAAGCCAGAGGAAGCAGATATCACCTCTACATCTAGGGTAAAAAAGGGAAAAGGTTCGGGTTGCCAGAGTCTGGGAGCTATAGGAGGAGGAGCCCTAGGGAATTAGTATCATACCTCTGAGGAAGCAGTGCTGCCTGGTTGCTGCTGGTAGAGTTTAAAATTGAAGATTGGTTCTGTAGTGCTGAAAGAAGGAGGAGCCTGGGGCAAGCTGCCATTGCTGGGGTGAACTGCTTCTGCCTGGATTATGTTGATAAAAACAGCAAGAAATAGGAAGGATGTCCATTTCCTGCCTTCTAGTCTGCTTTTAATGCCACCTGTTGGCAGAACCTAACAGGAAGCCTGCTGGGCAGGAGTCTAAGAAATGTTAATTTACAAGGTTGAAGTGAATGTGTCAGTTTCTCTAGTTTTGTCAAATTTTGCATTTCTTATTTTGAGGATGTTTTATTTGGTGCATACAAGTTTATAATTGTTCATAATTTCCAGTAAATGGAATCTTTTATTGTGTGGTGATCTTCTTAAGCTGTGATAATAATTATGTAGGTAATATATAGTTACATATATGGTCATTAGCTATAGTAATGCTAATAAAATCTGTTTGATATTAATATCATTGCCCCAGCTCTGTTTTAGTTAGCATTTTTTTTAAAATTCTTTTTATTCTTTCAGCCTTTCAGTGTCATTATGTTTTAGTTGTGTTTCTTTAAAACTGCATCTATCTGGATTTTGCTTTTTTATATAATCTGAAAATTTCTGTGTTTTAATTGGTTAATTCTATTTCTATTTCTGTCTTATATAAATAGTGTATTATGTATCTGGACTTATTTCTGCCTTTTTGTTTTGTGCTTTCTATTTGTCCTGCATTTTCTGTTCTTTCCTCTGCTTTTATTAGACTTTTAGAAGTTTAATAAGAAATGTAAAACTAGAGCTGTTTAAATAAAATTGAAATGTATTATTTTCACTTTCAAAAAATTTAAACTGTGGATCTAACAGCTGCATATGATTCCATTTTTAAACATTCAACAAATGTTTTATGAGCCTAGCATATGTTAGAAACTGTTCTTGGTGCTTTGGATACTGCAGTGCACAAAACCAACAGAAATTTCTGCCCTCATAGAGCTTACAGTTTAGAGCAGCCATAAGTTTAATTAGGTTCTAAATATTTTAGGATAGATGTGAGTTAACTAATGACAAACATATTCCTGGGATAATTAATATTTCACTTGATGTGTGCCAAGCCTGTTCATAGATAAGGTTCAAGGTAATAAACATTTGAAGTTATTTCAGAGTGACTTCTGAAGACCCCTTCCCCTCATTGTCATACTTTCTAAACTGGCAGCTTCTGAGCTTCTTCATTCATTCAGATGTTCACTCATTTATTCATTTAATAGGCAGACATTTATTGAGAAGCAGTTGAGGGTTAGCCACCATACTGGGCAGTGGCCATTCAAAGAAGGAATAAGACAGTCTCTGTCAGTTAGGAGTTATATGAGTAATGAAAACAAGACTTAAAATAGAAGGATGAATGAAATGCTGTAGGGGCAAAGAGGTAGAAATAACGTTGGGAGGTGAATTAAGAACTGATTGCTTGAAGGATGCTTGAAGTTGTCTTTCTGCAGGTTAACTGGAGATTTTTAGTAGAAAACTATTTTGTTTAGCATTGTTACCATAAAAATTCAGTCAGAAATAGTGACATTTACTCAACTTGTAACATATACTCAACTTGTCATTTCAGGAACTGTCTTGTTTTGTTACGAGGTGCTATGAAGTGGTGATGAATGTAGTCCATCAGTTGGCTGCCCTCTATATCAGTAACAAGTAATGGATTTTAGAAATGTTTTTACATTTTTAATAGAGATGCAGGAAATGTTTTTCTTAAACTAGCTAAATATCTGAAAGTTTTTCATTTGTTCACTCACTTATTCACTCATTCCTTCATTGACTTATTCAGCGTTCTTTGAACACTCATGATGTTTTAAACACTACTTGATGTGTGTAATCCATAGGTTAGTAAGACAGTTTCTGCCATGGTGAATGAACCCATTATCTGTCTGAACGAGAATGTTGACAGAATAATCTTAAAGAAATCTGATTGTATAGAAAAGGCTAATATAGAATTAGTATATGTACCAAGTTGTCTCTACTTATTTCCTCTTTCCTTTACATTGAAGGGTCCTTGGATTAGAATCATGTGACACTTTTCTTAAACTACAGAGTCTTGGGGAGTGGGGCTAGGTAATCTACCCTGAAAAATTTTTGTGAGTAATTCTAATGCTCTTCCAAGTTTGGAGACCACTGCCCTAAATCAAGAAAAAGACCACATTTTCATAGAGCCCTTAGTATTCTTAACCACCACAAAGTAATATCTTGCATTTGATTAAAACTGTATATTTAAAAATTTTCCCATTTATTACTTAATTATAATGTTACAAAACTTTGTTGAGGTATATGACTAGGGAGTCTTAATTATGAGAAGAGAGATAACTGAAGCCCAAAGGAATTATTTGCCAAGATTCCATAGCAAGTTAGGTACTGCTTTTTTGGTCACCAGTCCATTCATTGTTGTTCTTACTATACCATGCTGCATCTCAACTCTCTTTATAAAGTGAAAGACTGTGTTAACTGTTTCTCATTCTCATGTTTTTCCAGTCAGTCAGTTATTTATTTTATGTTCGTGCTCTCACTGAAGTTCTCCTCATGGCAGAAGCGAATGAGAGCACAGCTCCCCCCAACCCCTGCTGTACTTGGTGTGTAATTCAAAGAGACTCCCCACTACCACACTGCTGCCCTTGAAAGAGGAAATTTGTCTGAATTTTGTGTTTAATTTTTTAAATATTCTATCTTGTGGGATATTTATATATGCTTTGATAAGTATTAATTTATTTACTGTTGAGTAGATTGACTCTCTAGGAAGTAAAATTGAATTATCCTGGGGCTTTTGACTTTGGTATAATCCCATTTGTATGCATTGTTTTTTCAGTAGGAATGAGAATGCTAGCAATAAATCCAACTGAACAGAGGTCTAGTTCCCAAATGCCAGTTTGGGTGGGATAAAGATTCTAGTTGAAAATTGCGAAATTCTGATAGTTTAGAAAGAAATAAATACCAGTTTTGTTATTTCTTTAGCTCCATCCCAAGTTAGATCCTTTAGGTTTGAATGGCTAAGGGTTATTCATGGGCTGCCTATTGACATATACCTACCCACTGAGGAGTTGGGTGTAGGCAAGGAGAGCCCAGACTCTGTATGTACAAGTTATCTGCTTGGGAAAGTGGAATACGATAATAATTCTTTGGGTCGTGTAAATTTTAGTGACTAAAGCCTAAATAAAAATAAATACATATTAAAATTCCAAGAGCTTCTGCTGTTATGTGTTTTCCTTAAACATGAACTGTGACAAAAAAGGAGATTTTTTTTTTTTTAACTTGGGTGTTATTTTATTACAGGATTGCACCCAAAATTATAGAGACAACTGGAGTTCATTTTCAGGTAAAAGTAATTTAACTTGACCTGTAAAATTGTAATTTTTAGTATATTTTACTTTGGAGTTTGTATGATTGGGGAGTACAACAATTATTGCAAGGCTCTTAAAGGAGTTCTTTTTTTTGCTTTTGTTCTCTTTTATCTGTGAAGTTGATGAGGCATTACTGACCCACTATCAGTGTAACTCTTCCTAGTATTGGCCCAATGCAGACTCTCCAGGTGGTCTCTTCAGAGAATCTACAGTATCACGATCAAGGATGAAATATTGGGTGAAGGGTTTCCCAATTTAAGGTTGATGGTTCCATCTGAGGATTAACAGTTTCATCTGTAGTTTAATTTACCCACTGCTTTAATTTAGTAATTAGCCCAAGTGTGTTTAACTTAAAAAATCCACATGAAGCTTAACTTCTAACTAGTGATTAAATGATAATCATTTAAGGTTTTTTGACAGACTATGTATGAGCACTTGGGAGAGCTGCTAACAGTTCTGCTTACCCTGGATGAAATTATTGACAATCATATCACACTGAAAGACCACTGGACTATGTACAAAAGGTGAGCCAATTACAATGTTTAAAATACTCTTACTTTGTATAGGTAATGTATTAGTAAAAAATAAATAAATATAAATAGTACAGATCCATTAGGAGACCTGAAGATCTGTACTTAGAAGGATCTCATGTCAGATTTTCTTTGAAGACAGTAACCATTCTTTTAATTTCAGGTAGGCTTTTTGAGCGTATGATATACTTGTACAAAGCATCCTAATTCTTAAAGTGTAGTTGTTAATTTGACTATCTTAGGACTCAGATTCATTTTTTCCTTGTTCTATACGAATGATAGTTGTTTATTCTCCGCTTGGTTTTATTTTATACTCCAGAACTTTTAAAAGTCAAGGCATTTTGTTTTATTCAATCTATAAGCATTCACTAAATGTCTTATCTAGAGAGCACCAGATATCTGAATTTAAGATGATATAAAAAGGTATGATTAGAAAACTAAATATGTTAGGATTGTTTTTGTTCAAATTTTCAAATGTGTAGAGCCAAACAAGTGATACAAATATAAAACTTTGATTTCTGGGAATATTTTTAATACAATAATTTATTAGGCAAATCAAAGGTCTTTCTCCTACTTTTCTACAAGGTTACTGAAATCTGTCCATCACAACCCTTCAAAATTTGGAATTCAGGAAGAAAAACTAAAGCCATTTGAAAAGTTCTTGCTGAAGCTAGAAGGACAGTTACTTGATGGAATGATATTTCAGGTATGAGTGCTGTATCAGGCTATAGTAAATGGGCTTATATTAGTAGACCCATCTCAGAATTGTTGTGGGTCACTTTTATAGCATATTGTTGTGACTATATTTTTCTTTAAAAGTGCTTAGGCTTAAAACATGGTTAATGTACTAAAATATAGTTATATCAGTATCTAGTAGGAAATGAAATTAATAGTATACTGGTTGTATTTGTGATAAGGGTTTTTTAAATTATGTAAAAGGATAAAACTGTTCAAGGGTTAGTATCTGAGTAGTTGTGTCAAGCGTTTTGTTTATTGTTAACCTCTAGATTCAGGTTTGTAAGACAGCCTTTTATAAGTCTGTTTTAATTTCCTACTCGGAATATAATTTGCATCTGCACAATCCAGGTAGCTTCTAACCACGTGTGGCTGTTTAAATGTAAATTAATTAAAAAAAATAAAAATTCATTTCTTCTGCTACACTAGCAACATGTCAAATTCTTAATAGCTGCATGTAATCTCATTATCACACTGTGCACCTTAAACTTATATATGTTATATGCCAGTGATATCTCAGTAAAGCTGGGAGAAAAGCCAGCTGTGGCTAACAATCATATCAGCACAGATATAAAACATTTTCATCATCACAGAAAGTTCTGTTGGATGGCACAGCTTTGGGTAGTATCCACCAGAAATTGCATTACAGTACCCTTGAACAATATGGGTTTGAACTGCACAGGTCCACTTAAATATGTATATTTTTCAATAGTAAACGCTATAGTATTACACAGTCCACGGTTGGCTGAATGCAAGTGTGCGGAGAAACCGTGGATGCAGAGGGCTAGCTCTAAATTATACGGGGATTAACCCCCACTTGTTCAAGGGTCAACTGTGTGTTCCATTTAAAATCTGATTCAAGGTTACCTTTAATTTATATTTTAGATGATCACAGTTTTTACAGAATGATCACAACTCTTGTTTATACCAACTTAACTGTTAATCTGTTAATTTCAGAAGAATTTTTTGTTGATTCTTTTTCCAGGAGCCATTTCTACACATAATGTAATAAAGTGTTAGGAAAGTAATTGTAAACAGAAAAAGTCTCCTCTTAAAATTGCAAATTAAAATAATAAAGCATGCTTTCCCATGCTTCATCAGATACACCTTCTGTAATCACTTGTGTGTATCTCTTCATGTAGAATTATAGATTTTGGTTCAGTTTTATTACTTTCACATAAGGGGTACTCAAATATGTAAGTACATATACATTTCCCATTCAGAAGGATTTAGATATTAGGTTAAGGTTAAAAACCTGAGCCTCAGTGTTAGTAAAATCAAAATGATGAATGTAGGAGTTTATCACTCTATATTTAAATCTGTTTAAAGCATATTAAGTCATAATAGCTTATGAGAGTGTAAATTTCTCTAAATGTTTCCTGTCTAGGCCTGTATAGAACAGCAGTTTGATTCTCTCAATGGAGGAGTATCTGTGTCAAAAAATAGCACTTTTGCTGAAGAATTTGCACATAGTATTCGCTCAATTTTTGCAAATGTAGAAGCCAAACTTGGTAATGTAACATGCATTTTTTGGTTTTCATTTAAAAGTTTTCATTTCCTTTAAAGCAGAATTTTAAGTATATTCTGTTTTTCTCTCATGTTATTGTTTTATAAGGCGAACCTTCTGAAATTGACCAGAGAGACAAGTATGTAGGAATTTGTGGACTCTTTGTATTGCACTTTCAAATTTTTCGAACGGTTGATAAAAAGTTTTACAAGTCTTTATTGGACATTTGTAAGAAGGTAAGAACTTGGAACTTCTATTTTTTTCAATTTGAATAGATGGAAAAGATTTGGGATAAAATTGGGTATTTTAAAATGTATTTTATTCCTGCTTACAAAAATAATAATTTTTATAATATTTTGTAATAATAATTACAAAAATAATATCATAATATTCATTTTAAAGAATATTTAAAATATTTAAGCATTCCAGAAATAAGTAACATAGTAAATGAAAATACCCCATAATTCCACATTGTATAAATACATATTAGTGGATGCTTTTCCACATTTTTTCCTGTACATTAACTTGCTATTACTACTTTTTCCTCTTTCTTTTCCTTCGCTTTCTCTTCTTGCCACCCATTCTCATTATTGAAGTAGGAAGAAATTTAAAACAATTTTTTCTCTGTCTTTGCTGTTTCCATGATGTGGCACCTGTTTTCAAAATTGAAAATTTAGATGGTTTATATAATCAAGTGATATATGACCATGAGAACCCAGCCATCTTGGATATTTATTTTGTATTTTTTCACTAAAATAGAGTGAAAGTAAAGGTCATGAAGACTCAAGTTTCTGTTTAATTTTTGCATATTTTTGTTCATCTGAAAATCTGTGAGAGTGTGTGTGTGTGTTGTTTAATATTTAGACAGAATAAAATTAGTGTCATGCTCCACACCAGATATAGGAATGCCTTTACTCTGTGCCACATTAACATAATTTATCTCATATTAATGAGTATCTTTTTATCATTATTTTTCTTGAAATAGGTTGTTTTCCATTGCATGTTGTAGGATTATTAAACAGTTTGTTGCTTAACCTGCATTTAATGATTTTCCTCCTCTTTCATTTCCTGTTTCAGGTACCAGCCATCACTCTGACTGCTAATATTATTTGGTTTCCTGACAATTTTTTGATCCAGAAAATACCAGCAGCTGCCAAACTTCTGGATAGAAAAAGTCTTCAAGCCATTAAAATCTACAGAGATACTTTCCTACAGCAGAAAGCTCAGTCCCTTACCAAGTAGGTTTTATAAGTACCCATAATGTAAATATTTAGATAGTTTATATTTTCAAATTTTATACTGATTCTAAATATGCAGAAAGCATTTGAATTATAAGATCAGACATAGTTACTCATTACCAGAGAAAACGTTGGGCAGTCTCAAGGAGATTTATTTTCTAGGAGTGTTTTTTGTTTTAAATGTTGTAGGCTTAAACTCAATTTAAGATGTAGGCAAATTATACTTTATGGAAACATAGATATGTGTGCATACATTCATATATTTTTTGTCAGGTGCATTAAATATTTTTGTGTGTAAAGTGAAGTCTCTGCAGTAGATGCCAGTTGATGACATTTAGAACATTGTGTGTACATGACTCAATGTTGATTTTTGCAGGAGTTGACTTTTGTTTAATGCACTCCTTTTTTTTATTTTTATGAAAGTAATGTATGCACATATTTAAGAAGTTAAGAAGTACTAAAGGTTCAGAGGAAAAAAATGATTGTCCTCCGCCCCATTCCCCCCTGTGCCTTCGTCCTGCTTCCTAAAAGAACACTTTTAACTCTTAGTTTCTTCTGATACTTACATCTTTTAGCTTATCTTACTGTGTAAAATTTCAGATATACACAAAATAGAGAAAACAGTATAATGAGCCCCCATGTTCTCATCACATAGCCTTAACAATTAAATTTACTGTACATTGTCACTTGAGTATACTGCTAAAATTTCACGTTGACTGGGATGAAGATTTTAAGTGAAGCGACACAGGACTCTGCCAGTGGCCCTGTACTGGACAGTTTTTAACTGTAACATGGTTAAAGGGTAATAGGGATATTTACCTACTTTCTGGTTAATCTTGACTCTTGAGGGGAAATTGGGTCACTCCTGTACAGTGGGGCAAAGAGGAGTATATCTGGAATATACGAGATCCCCTAAAGCACCTCTTAGTACTCCCAAGTCCTATAATTAAAGTAGGTGGAGAGTGACAAGTCAATTCAGGCAGGACTACTCATGGCAGAGATTTCAGGGCTCTCCAATACACTCTGAAACAGAGTTGAGGAGGGATAAAGACATAAGTTTGGATTTAGATTAAAGAGATGAGCTCAGTAGGATGGAGAGACAGGACCAGGCTTGGTAGCAGTAATTTTAAAAAAGATGTGTATGTTTTAGTTATCAGAGACTTCATATTCTTTAACAGTATGATGCAGTTGCTAAAACTGTCAGTTTGTACTTAGATTACATTAATAACTATACCCAAGTTATGGAAGCTAGTAGTTATAATATCTAGGCTAGGGGAATTGGTAGTTCCATTAAATTCTTATTGGTCAGATTATAATGAGTGTTTGGTGGTGCCACATTTTAAGAGTGTCACAAACGGTAGCATCTTCAGATGAACCTGATCAGGATGTTAGATCTGAGAACCATGACCTTTGAAGACTCACTGAAAAGTCTCTATATAGTTTGGCCTTTAAAAGAGAAATCTGAGGAATGATGTATTAGATTTCTTTAAATATTTGAAGGGCATTCAGGTTGAAGAGGGAACAGATTTGATCTCTGTGGCTCCAGGAAGTTGAATTAGAACCAAAAGATGAATGTGACAGATATTAATAATAATTGCCAACATTATCAAGCTTGTAACTATGTAGTAGGCATTATGCTAAAGCTTTAAACACATTGTCTTTTGTAAACCCTGTAACAGTCTTCTCATATGGGAAATAACGAAGTCACAACTAGTATTTACCCTATGCTTTCTATAAGCCAATAACTATTCCAGGAACTTCATGTGTATCATCTTTTTTAATCATCAGAAAATCCTATGAGGTAGGTACTGTTGTCATGTCCATTTTATAGGTGAGAAAATTGAGACACAGAGGGATTGAACTTACCCAAATTGAAACAACTAATATGTGGCAGAGCTGGGAAGTCTAACTCTAGAGCACAAGCTCTTAACACTACCCTATAGTGTTTCTCTATATTTTTATCCCATTTTCAGGTAAGGAAAATGAGGCTTAGAGAAATGAACTTTGCCAGGTCACACAGCTGGGTACGTATCAGAGAAGGCATGCAAACCCACGCCCGTCCTACTCTAGAGCCTTTGCGACAGAGTTGTGTAGGCTGCCCTGAGAGGTAATGTACCCTTTCACTAGAGCTACGCAGGCAGAATAGAGATGACCATCAGTCCAGGGTGCTGGAGGAACTGAGTCTTATTATGTAAAAGATTGAATAAGTTGACTTTCAAAGACACCCCTCCCTCCCCCGTGTGATAACATTTCAATATTTCTAAATTCTTTAATTTCAAAAACATACCTCTCTGCAGTCACTATAGAGCTCCTTTGAGCTGAAGAGGGCAATGTCTTTTTCATTCTCCTCATTAACTTCCAAAGAAACCTAAAATTCACAACACTAAAATGCAACCCAGGAGAGAGGAGATGGTGTGATCAGCATGAGCTTTGTCTGACATTTTAGAAGAAGTTGAGGAAGTGACTAAGGGCTGTCCCAGTCAGGCTCCAGAGTTCATTATGGAGGAAGAGGAAACAGTGGGGGACAGTTTTCCTGCCTCCGCACCATACATTAGACCCCACGTGGCCAAGTGCCCCCAGCCACCTCTTTGACTAGGGTCCAAGGTTTGTAGGTTGCTGCATTTTGCTTTTTGTTCACAACCATTTTGATGCTGGGGATACTGCCCTTGGAGGGTAGAGGTATGAACCTTTGTTTCAAACCCCCAGTTGACGTACAGGTGTTGACACTGTTGAGTGCTTTATATTAGGACAGGAGATTTGTTCTTTCTCCCTAGTGTTAGTCCTGTTTGTACTTTGAAATGAAGCTGACAATCTGACAGGACCCTTTTTGGACTCACTTTGTCAATTAACTTGGCTTTTTAAAACTTGAAGCAGTTTCATTTTTATATATTTACAGGAGATAAAGATTATCTGGTGTCTGGATGTAGGAATGATGGGTGGAGTGACAGACCTCTGCTTTATCCCGTGTAGTGTGACCTAAAACTCAGTGATTCTTGACTGCCCTTGACTGTGTATTAGCCTTCTTAATGTTACTGACTGGATTGCCATCAACTTGATTGCTGTTGTAGGCCTCTTCCTTCTGTCCCTGCTTGTGACTTTACTGTTCCCTTCTGTACATGGTATCCCTGCTTGGGTCCTGATCACAGCCTCTTCCTTAAAGTGCAGGCATTGCCCTAAGACTCTGCTCTTACTCTGCATTCCAGACTTCTAAATCAAATCATCCACAAGTCAAATAATACATTTTAGTGCCATTTGAGGCAAAGCCAGAAGTGCAGCTATTGGTTTCTTTTGTATAATGGAATCCTGGCTCAGAAGAAATAATTTTTATCAGATTTGATTGAATTAATTAAAATTAAACTTAATTTTTTTTTTTTTTTTTTTGCGGTATGCGGGCTTCTCACTGCTGTGGCCCCTCCCGTCACGGAGCACAGTCTCCGGACACGCAGGGTCAGCGGCCATGGCCCATGGGCCCAGCCGCTCTGCGGCATGTGGGATCCTCCCGGACCGGGGCACGAACCCGTGTCCCCTGCATCGGCAGGCGGACTCCCAACCACTGCGCCGCCAGGGAAGCCCAAACTTAATTGTTTTTAAAATAAAAGTATAGCTTAAACAGCTTGTGGGCTAAAAGTTCTCATCTTGAGTAATTTGAAATGCATTGATACAGTGATTTAGTGTTAGTAAGCAGCCTGCATAGTAGAATTATATTATTGATTTAGTTTTTCCACGATGGGAAAGCTTCCTAGGTTTGGGCTGAAGTCCTGGCTCAGCTGTGACCTAGTTATATGATGTTGGGCACATTACTTCTCTGTGTGTCAGTTTCCTCTTCTGTAAAATGGAGATCGTAATACTTAACCTCATAAGGTTAATGTGAGGATTTAATGAGTTAATTTGTGTAAAGTGCTTATAACAGTGGCTGGGCATATAGTAAGCATTCAGTAAATGTTAGCTTTTATATTCAGATTCTGACAGCTTCCATTCATCTCTGGTTCAAGCTGTCATCCCCTTTTTCCTGCATTATCACAGGAGCTTCCTAAGTGGTTTTCCTGCTTTTACCATTGTCCCCTTTATAGTTTATTTTCAACATACCAGTCAAAGTGATATTGATCCTCTTCAGAGTTAGAGTAGGTCACTCTGCCCAAATCCTCTAGAGGCTTTCCACTGAAGTCCTTACTGCCCTACGAGGCATTACACAAACCCCCTTTCCACTCTCCACTTTCCTATTCCTCCACCCCCGCCAACCCCTGTATCTCTCTGATCTTTTCTGTTCTCATCTCTGCCCTGTGTGCTCCTGTCATACTGACTTCTTTGTTATTACTTGAACGTGCCAGACAGACTGCTGTTTTGGGATGATTGCATTTGTTATTTACTTTCCTAAAATTCTCCTATATATTTGCATGGATTACTTATTCAACTTCAAATCTTGACTCAAAATCAGCTTTACAATAGGCCTACTTTGATCACTGTGTTTAAAATTGTACTTACCACCCCAGTAGCTCTTTTCCCTGCTATATTTTTTCCATAGCACATATCTGACATCTTACAGATTTCAGTTTCTGATTTCTTTATTATACAAGTCTCCTTTCTAGAATGTAAGCTTCTACATGGGGGCAGAGATTTTTGTTTATTGTGTTTACTGCCCTTTTTTGTTTTTAGTACTGAGAAACAGTGCCTGGCATGTATAGGCATTCAGTAAATATTTGCTGCTTAAGTAAATTATATTTGTATATATTGAAAACCAGAAAGATGAAGTGGCTGCTGCAGAGAAATACTCCATTCAGTATGAAGAAATGGAAGTAAATTTTCTTTCCTATGCTGAATAACCTCAATATTTTCCTTTGTTAGAGATGTACAGTCTTACTACGTCTTTGTGAGCTCATGGATGATGAAAATGGAATCTATTTTATCTAAAGAGCAGAGAATGGATAAATTTGCTGAAGACCTTACCAATAGATGTAATGTTTTTATACAGGTAGTTGCATCTTCTTACTTAGAATATTTGGGGGGGGGGGTCATTTCTTTGTTAATCCAGTGTACAGAAGGTGCACTTAGAAAAAACTGTAAAGGGTAGGATGTGTTTTTGTTTTTAAAACTGAAAATTGATTTGGTTATGTATGTTTGGATCTGTTTGACTTTAATTAATGAATTTAGATTTTCTAATATATGCATTTAAATCTCTACACTCCCTCCAAGGCATGACTTTTTTGCTGTATCCCATAAGTTTTTTTTTTTATCCCATAAGTTTTGATGTGTTGTATTTTTATTATTCTTTAGTTCAGAATATTAAAAAACATTTATTGTGATTTTTACTTTGCTCTCTTGGTAATTTTGAAATAGAATTCTTAGTTTCTAAATGCATGAGGGTTTCCTAGTTATCTTTTTATTATTGATTTCTAGCAGTACTAAGATACTTGCAGTATTTTGAAGTTTGTTGAGGCCCATTGTGGCCCAGCCTATGGACAGCTTTAGCAAACATTTCACGTGTACTTAAAAAGAATGTAATTTGCTTTTTGTTGGTTGTGGTGTTATATATATATCAAGTAGGGTCATGTTTGTTAATGATTTTGTCTGAATATTCTATCAGTTACTGAGACAGCTGGGTTAGAATCGCCCACTATTATTGTGGATTTTTCTATTTATCCTTCGTAGCTTTGTCAGCTTTTGTTTTATATATTTTGAGACGAAGTAAGTGCATAACATTTAGAATTGTTATAGTTTACTGGTGAGTCAAACCTTTTATCATTGTGACATGTCCCTTTTTATCTCTAGTAATGCTTTTTGTCATAGGTCTTTTGTGTGTGATAGTAACATAGCTGTACCAGTTTTCTTTTAATTAAGGTCTATATGGTCCATCTGTTGTCATCCTTTTACTTGCAGCCTGTTTGACTTCTTTATTTAATGTGTGTCTCCTATAAGCAGCCTGTATTTCTCCCCAATAAAACCATTTTCTGTATATGTCAATACTGATATTTAGATTTAAAATTAGCACCTGATTAGTTGTTTTCTATTTGTCTCACTTGTTCTGTGTCCCTATCCTTTTCCTTTCTTGCTCTCTTTTGAATTATTTTTATTATTTCATTCTTCCTTCTATTGGTTTGTTAATTCAGTATTTTACTCTTTTTTTAGTGGTTAATGTAGAGATATTAAGATGCATTATTGAACATTCAACTCCAATATAAATTAGCAGTTTCACCACTTTCCAGACAGTATAAGGATCTTAAGCCACTTGAATTCTATTTATCCCTCTCTCACCTGTGCTGCTGCTGTGTATTTTGATTCTGTATATATTTTAAATCTTATAAGGCATTGTTGCTGTTGTTTTTAATAGTATTCATTTAGATTTACCCATGTATTTACCCATTCTGTTGTTTTTTATCCTTCCTGCATCTCCTTATCTTTCTACTTGCAGTATACCTGTTAGTATTTCATTTAATTTTGTTTTTGTTGAGAAGTCAACTGTCAGTTTTGTTGCTTTTTCAATATGTGTCTTTGTGTAATTGCTTATAAGATTTACTTTTTGGTTTTTAGCGATATTATTACTTTGATGAACCTATGTGTGGTTTTCTTTGTGTTTGTGCTGCTTGGGATTTGTAGAGCTTCTGGAAAATTCTCAGTCATTAACTCTTTAAGTACTATTTCTGTTCTCTTTCTGTTCTAATTATTTTTTCAGTTACATCTAACCTGCTATTAAACCCATCTGCTGACTTATTTTTTTCTGAGTTCTTAATTTTAATTATTTTACTTTTCAGTTTGTTTCTTTTTTTAGTTTCCAGTTGTTTTCTGAAATAATTTTGTGTTTTATTTCTTCAGCATATTCAACATAACTATTTTGAAGCCCATGTCTAATAATTTCATTATCTAGGTCTTTCTGTTATCTATTTTTTGTTGTTGTTTGTTTTTGGATATGTCTTATATCTTTGTATGCCTTGTTATTTTTAATAACGCATGTTGTACATGGAAAAACTGTAGATATAATTGAGGATCTGGGTATTGTTTTTCTTCCTCCAGAGAGGATTTAATTTTTGCTTCTGATACACAGCTAGTCTAGGACAAGCAGCACCCAGATCACCTCAGCCCAGTCATAGATTGAGATGACTTAAAGTGGGACCTAAATTCTATGATGGCTGTCTTTTCTAGTTCATGCTTACTTTCTAGGGGGAGTTTTTAAGAACCCAACTCAGAGCCTAGGTGATTTGCCAGGACCCCGTCCCCTCCTTGATGGGCCATGGACTCATATTTTTACCCTCCTTCCCTTGTGGGTTTGGCTTCTGTCTTTACCACTCTCTTTGGGAATGGGCAGATGCCTCTGTGGGAAAGCAGCCACAAATGGCAGGCTCATGTCTTTGGGTTTCTGTCTTCTCCCAGGTCTTGGCCTTGTATTTTCTTATTTTCTTGATAGCTCTTTGATGCTTTTCAAGAGATTTTAAAAATGTTTTGCCCAGATTTCCTAGTTCTTTTCTGTGGAAAGGTTGGTCCAAATTATTCTGCAGTTAACGGAAACAGACCCCAGACCTCCCCCCTCCCCATTTAGATGTTTAAAATACATCTTTTGTCAATGTCCTTCACAAATTAATGACCATCAAGGAATGGTGTGGTATTGGCCTGTGAGTTCTCTGCCCCCTTTCCCCCACAAAAAAGAAACTCCCTTTTTTTTTTTACCTGCCTTAGAGTTATACTTTTGCTGTTCCTTGTCTCTGCTTTTTAACTTTTCCCAGTGCTGCGCTAGGGCAGAGTCTGGTGTAATAGTCCTGTAGCTGACAAGGTAAGACTTGTGGCTCTTTCCTGCATGTATGCCCCAAGCTTTGGTCTTATTGTCACCTCTTAGGATGCTACCTTCTCTCTCATTTCTTAGTTCTCTTAATTTTATCACATCTCTTCACCACAGAGCTATTACTGGTTCACAGAAATCCCCTCTCCCCCCATTGGGTATCACTCCTTTAGTGAGCCATTGTTACTGATGGTAGAGCAGGAGAAAAAGGTTGAGAATAACTGGCATATAGCTTCTGCCCTGGCTCATTGGATATATTCACAATAACGTAGTTCATCTCTAAACTGTACATGTATGTCTTTTTTTGGTCCTTCTTTATAAACCTAAAGAATCTCCATCATTATGTTTCTCTGTGTCCTTTTTGGATCTAAATGAAAATATATTTGAGAGGTAATACCCTTTTTCCTGTTTTGTATTCTATACTGTTTTCCTGGGTTTACTAGCACTAAATTTTTTTTTTAAACCTTACAAGACATGTGGCTTCCTTCATAAATAGAAGGATAGGAGAGAATCTGTTCTCATTGGGCTGGAAAGAGAGAAAGACTGAATAGCACCAGCATAGCAGGGATATGGTAGCAGATGGATAGTATGGATTGTCCTGGGTGAAAAAGAAACGGGGATTCGCTTGGAACTGAGAAATACTGTTGGATATCTGTACTGGCCAGAGAGCAGCTCTCTTTCTCCTTCTCATTTTTCAATTCCTACTTCCTTAGAGTCCTCAGCTCTTGTCTTAAGCTGCAGCAGATAGGAGTCTTTATCCTCTTGCCTGGCAGGTGAGATAAGGATGAATAGATATCTTCCTGACATCCAAATCGTTCCTCTAAAAGTCTTGTTTTAATGGAAAGATTCTTTAACTGTGGTTATATGCTGTAATGTCAACCTTACTAAACTTCTGGTAAGTGATAGGTTACATAACTTTTAAGGGCTGCTTTGAAACTTAACCACCATGTATAACATTGTGTAAGAAAGAATATTTCAAAATCTTAAGAGCTGACTTTAAAATGAACTTTAAAAACACTAGTTATTGGCAAGTTGAAGAATTATTATTATATAGAGAATGAAATCTTTAAGAAATGAAACCTTTTCTTGTGATTATAATCAATGTTTTATATTATTTTTTATAGGGCTTTTTATATGCATACAGTATTAGTACCATTATTAAAACCACAATGAATCTCTACATGTCCATGCAAAAGCCAATGACCAAAACATCAGTTAAGGCATTATGCAGGCTTGTTGAACTTCTCAAGGTAGGTTTTAGATTATTTTACCTTGTCATTATAATTGAGAAATGACCCGAGCTTAAAGCAGGATTTTTTCTTTTGGTTAAGATTTGACTTCTTGATTATGAGAATAAAAAAATTATGGAAAAGTGTACTCATCTCTCAGTTGGATAACGGAACTAGCCACTAAAAGAAATTTCTGAGTAGTTTTCTATGAATGGCCAATAAACTTTATTAAAAGTTAACATGTAGTGAAAGAGAAAAGAAGGAAAATGAAAAGGTATTAGCCTAAGTATTGGTAAAGTTTTACTCACGGAAGTTTTAAGCATGTTGCATGAGTTTTAAAAATACATGAGACAGGCTTCCCTGGTGGCGCAGTGGTTGAGAGTCCGCCTACCGATGCAGGGGACGCGGTTTTGTGCCCCAGTCCGGGAAGATCCCACCGGCTGGGCCCGTGAGCCATGGCTGCTGAGCCTGCGCGTCCGGAGCCTGTGCTCCGCAACGGGAGAGGCCACAACAGTGAGAGGCCTGCATACCGCAAAGAAATGAAAAAAAAACCATGAGACGTTAATATTATTCTATAGTATTCTAATGCATATGAGGCTAGTCAGCAGAGGCTGTTTATTTTGTAATTTAGAGAAAGTGTTATAATTTTGGGATTTGAATACTTTTGAAAATGTGGTAAAATGCTTCTTAGCATACTCTGTATAAATAAAAAAAAGAAACTCCTTACAGGCAGGAGAGCCCACTTTTAACCTTTTGTAAAAACTGAAATAAAGATTTGCTAGTAAATTTCTGCTAATAGTGGCTTTAGATTTGCTTAGGAAATAAAGATAGTTTGGAGATTGTGTCTTTAGATTTTTAGCATTTTTTTCTTTAAGGTATTACCAGTTATATTTATTTTTTATGAAATACAAATACAGAAGTATATATATGTATAGATGCATATATATCTTATATCTAATATATAAGCATAATTTTAAAAATAATAAACACTTAAAAACCTATCATCCCACTTAGGAAATAGAATGTTACCAATATTTTCAAAGCCCCTGTGTTGTCCCTCCCTGATCGCATCCTATCCTACCTCCTCAGAGGAACCACAGTCCTGAATTTTATCATTCCCTTGTTTCTTTTTAGTTTGCCACATATGAATGAATCTATCAGCCATTCATTGTTTAGTTATGTTTTTGAAATTTGTATTAATGTATTCTTCATGTATTCTTTGGCTTGGTTCATTTTACTCAAAATTTTTTATTTGAACTTAACCATGTTGGGATGAATAGCTGTAGTTCATTAATTTTCATTACTGTGTAGCTTTCCTGGGGATGGACTTTTGGGGTTTTTTTCCAGTTTTTGCTATTATAAATAATGTTGCCATTTTTGTATATGTCTCTTGGTGTAATTGTGCAGAAGTTTTTCTGAAGTATCGTATATCTGTGAGTGGATTGCTGGGTTCTGTGATATGTACATAATCAGCTTTTCAAGATGATGCCAGATTGTTTTCCAAAGTAGTTCTATCAGTTTACACACCTTCCACAATATATTAGACTTCCCATTGTTCCCTAACTGACCAACATTGGTATCATCGGCCTTTTGTGTGTGTGTGCACGTGCACATTGGTGTTTATAAATGATTTTATACTTAACATTCATTTCTCTGATTGTTAATGATGGTATCTTGTCTAATACTGTTAACTGTGTTTCTTTTGTGAAAAATATATTCATGTCTTTTGTTCAGTTATCTATTGAAATTTTTGCCTTTTTTTAAAAAAAGTGTTTAATTTGTTTGGTGTCTTTACATATTCTGTGTACTAATCCCTTGTGTGTGGCAGATATTTTCTCATACGTTGGCTTGTCTTTTAATTTTCTTTATAGTGACTTTTGATAAATAGAAATCATTAATTTAATATAGTTGAATTTACCAGTCTTATCCTTTATGGTAGTGCTTTTTGCATCTCATTTACAAATGTCTTACCTAGCTCAAGGTCGTAAAGATATGCTATAATTTTACCTAAACGTTTTGAGTTGATTTTCATAAAATCACTTGTGATTCTTTTTAGGCAATAGAACATATGTTCTACAGGAGAAGCCTGGTTGTGGCTGATTCAGTCTCACATATAACACAGCACCTTCAGCATCAGGCTCTTAATTCTATTTCCGTGGCCAAGGTATGAAAGTTCGTATGTATTCAGCATAATTATATCATCTTTCTATTTTGCCCTTCCTGTTGTTTTATTTGTGTTTTCTAGTTAAACCTGTGTACTCCATTTCTTCAAACACAATATTCTTGGTTATAATCTCCATGGTATTTTATGATTTTACTTAGAGTGATCAGGGTTATCTTTACTCTGAACTTGTAGCATTAACACAGTTCTATTAAAAAATGACATATTATGCATTTTTAAAATATGATGCATCTTCTTTTAAGAAATGATTTTCTTATTACATCAATACGGTAATTTTGAAGTATGCCTAGTAATTTGCTGTCCCTGACAGAGCTCAGTGATAATGTTATGGCAGTAAAGCATCTAACATTATCACAAGAAGCTGAACGGGGAAAGTATTTGTCTAAGTGCTCTTAAATTGAATCATGGAAAAGATAACTGAGAAATTTTTCTTCTGCATCTTTTGTTATTGCCTCAGATTTAAAGCTGATATTTCCTGTTTTCTTTTATCTTTAAGAAAAGAGTAATTTCTGACAAAAAATATAGTGAACAGCGTCTTGATGTGCTCTCTGCTCTAGTTTTGGCTGAAAACACTCTAAATGGACCAAGCACAAAGCAACGACGACTTATTGTTTCTTTGGCACTAAGTGTTGGCACACAAATGGTAAGTGTATTGCTATTATTTATGGAATAAAAGTGAGATCTGAGGTTTCACACTTCCCTTATTACTGACCTAAGAAACCTGTCTTACAAGTGCAATTTCTCTGTCTTTTTCCACTCCCTGATAGAAAACATTTAAAGATGAAGAACTCTTTCCACTTCAAGTAGTCATGAAAAAGCTGGATCTTATCAGTGAACTTAGAGAAAGGTAAGTAGGTATATGTAATGATACTCAAAAGATAGGGGTAATGGAAACATCAGGGCTTTTTTTTTTTTTAAGGATAGCAAGACAAGGAATATAACTTAGGTAGACCATTAGTTCCTGTTCATAACTTCTTTAGCATGACTAAAAGTAGACTGTGACAAGCCATCATATTTCTTTAACTTTGCTTCTACAGTAAGGATGTAGCTTTTGGAAGAACTCACATGAGAAAATATGATATAGCCCTTAGAGCATCTGGCAGACCCTGGAACATTATTGTGATTGTTGTGATGTGTATCTGTGATGGACTTAAAATTGCTGCTTTATAACAAGACTTCATCTATTTGTGAGAGACTTAGAGCCATCTGACATAGTCTTCTGTAATTTTATTTGGGGCATGAATTTGAATTACATTGTTGGGTAGCCAATCACTAAGATGAATTAGGTTTGGGAAGGCTTATTTATATAGCTCCTGTGGCTTTATTGTTTTCTTTTTATTAAGCAAGCAGTAAGTTTCTTAATGGGAAAGTGGGTCTTCTGAATTTTGATTCCCAGCCGAATTAAGGTTTCAGCACAATTTGTATTTAATGCTCATATTTGTAACATGATGTTTTTGTTGTTCTGAGAAGCTCAGATTTTTGTAGTTAGTGGCATTTAACTTTCCACCCTCGGTAGAAATACTGAGCCTTCTTTACTCTAAGATACTTAATGATCATTTTGTTGCCTGATAAGGTGTGAGATAGTCACTTAGCACAGATTATAGACAGGTTGAGTGCGACTGGTTTTTGTTGTTGTTGTCATTGTTTTGGTCACAGTTTTTTGAAAAGTCTCCGTTTCAGCTTTGAGACAGGTGCATGTGATGCAGGTCTTGTAAGTCTAGTCATATCAAATAATATTGAAAATAAATTTATTTTAAACTCAAAGTTATCTGTATATATTTTTTAATACCTTTATTGGAGTATAATTGCTTTACAATGTTGTGTTAGTTTCTGCTGCACAACAAAGTGAAAGAGCTGTAAGTATACATATATCCCCATATCCCCTCCCTCTTTAGCCTCCCTCCCACTCTCCCTATCCCACCCTATATTGTTTCCTAAGTATGCTTTAAAACTGAAGTGTATTTGCAGAATTCTGACAGTGTCGGGTATTGGAGTGTTTTGTTACTGTTGTTCAATTTGAAAAATACTTATTTTGTGGCTTTTCTATACTAATTTTGGGTTAAATGATGTAAGGAAAACAAAAGAGTAAGACAGAGCTTTTACCCTTATGATACATAATGTCATTCCTTTTATTATTTTTTTGGGTTACTTCAATTTTGGTACCACTAATTATTACTTTACATTGTAGAGTCCAAACACAATGTGACTGTTGTTTTTTATACTGGCATCGAGCTGTCTTCCCAATTTATTTAGACGATGTATATGAAAATGCTGTTGATGCAGCCAGATTACATGTAAGTAAAGAATAATGTAAAGAATAAACCCATCATTTTTTTAGTCACTGTGTAAACCACTTTAATTAATTTTAAAATAGATCATTTAATAAACTTTTAAAACTGCTGATGCTGTTTTTTAACAGTGCTATGCATATTCAATAAAATTTATATAGTCTTAGATAAATTTTATATTACTACTAATGAATTAATATATATTTCACTCTTCTCATATTCCTAATCATTCTCATTGCACTGGGTTTTAGTTTGTGTCAAAATAATATGACTTATTTGTCAGTAAGTTATATGTTGTTCAGATCTTTCCATTTCTTTATGGAAATGAGTGTATTTGAATGATCAAGGTAGGAAAAGGATAAGTTAATGTGCATTTTTTGTATACTTAAAGTATATGCTTCTGAGAATAAAATTCAACTCTTACTTAGGAAAGTAAGATAGTCATGTGTAAAAAAGCCTTCAGATTGAGGTTTTGTCTTTTAAGGTAGGTGATTAACCTTCGTAATATAATTTAGAAATGTAATTTTTCTAAATCCATGTACATTCTACTTTTCGTCTTAGTACATGTTCAGTGCTTTACGTGACTGTGTACCTGCTATGATGCATGCAAGGCATTTAGAGTCCTATGAAGTACTTCTGGATTGCTATGACAAGGAAATCATGGAAATTTTAAATGAGGTAACATATTTTGAGATTGAAAAGCTTAAAACATGTCTAGAATGCAATGTTTAGAAAAACTTTTTGGATTGAAGCAGGCTTTCACAAATTTAAGATTATTATTGTAAATCACAAAGGAACTATCACTGTTGTGCTAAATTCGTCTTTAATTCCTAATTTTTAATATAGAAATCCAGGAATTTGGAAAACTTTTTTTTACTTTAGTAAGTAGTATATTTGAATTTAAAGTTCTGTTTGTTAGAAGAATACAAATGGAAAAGTTGGTTTGACTATTGTCTGCAGCTAATGGTCATATAGTTAAGGTAACTTAACTATTAATGTTTTATTGAATTTCATTTGGAAAGGTAATGACTGAAATATTTTATATTTAAAAGTATAAAGCCTATTACTTGTGTAACAGATAATTTGAGTGCAATATAGTACATCCGTCCCTGTTTTAATGAAGTGTGTATTATATAAACACTGATATCTTTACAATTAAATTTCCAACTAGCAGTATTTTTATATGGAGGGAGGAATTAAAAATGAGTAAACTTCACAATATAAACCTTATATAGGTTTGATAAAATTGTGAAATTTTTAAATATAATTTCTCATATTAAATACTTGTATTTAGAAAATAAGATACATGTCTGGCCAGTACTTAGAACCCCGTGGTACACCAGAAAAAATGATTAATTTCATTGCCTTTAGCTCAATGAGTTTTGTGATTTTTTTTTTTTAATGATTATTACAAGGAAGCTTTTAAAAGTTTTTCTCTCTTGCATATTCTCAGGACCTTTCCTCCTTTGTTGCCAGTTTCTATACATTTTTTGCTTTATATTGTATATTCATGTTCCTTGTAGTGAAGCCATCCGACGTTAGCTTTTGATTTCTTTTTCAAGGGTGTTATACTTAAAATACTAATGAATTCATTAGAACTCATCTAACTGCTCCCTTGTCAAAAGTAATCATTGATTTCAATAGGTAGCAAAATAATTTCACTCTCCCAATAAAATAATATTTTACCATAGAGTATTTAGACTCTTAAACCAGTTTGACACATTTTTTCATCATTGCACAGATATTAAAGCTCTAACAGTGAGAACATAGACACCTAGAAGAATAATACAATTAGAATATTACTTTGAAAAATTAAGATAGCAATTCTTTTGTGAATAGCATTTGCTGGACAAGTTGTGCAAAGAAATAGAGAAGGACCTGCGACTTTCTGTGCATACTCATTTAAAGCTGGATGACAGAAACCCTTTCAAAGTTGGCATGAAAGACCTGGCCCTTTTTTTCTCTCTGAATCCAATTCGGTTTTTCAATCGTTTCATTGACATTCGAGGTGAGTGTTCTGGTTTCCTTCTTAGGGTCATATTCTATATCTGTTTGCCCTGTTAAAGAGCAAATAACAAAAACAAAACCTTGAGAAAATCTTTCTTTGTATTAGTGCATTTATTCTTGAATTCCTTTTTGTTTCTTCATTTTTATTTTCCTAGCACCTTATTTTAAAGGAAGAAATTTAATGTTCAAAGACAGGTTGTTTCCTTTTTAGTTTCATTTCTCTTCCTTTCCTGCTGTTCATGAATCAGAAAAGTTTTGATTGGTTTTTTTTTTTAAGCTTATGTAACTCACTACCTAGACAAGACTTTCTACAATCTAACGACAGTAGCTCTTCACGACTGGGCCACTTACAGTGAAATGAGAAATTTAGCTACTCAGCGTTATGGATTGGTTATGACCGAGGCACATCTTCCTAGTCAGACTTTGGAACAGGTATAGTATAAACTGTTCTTGGTATAGTCTGATTGTAGCATGATAACAGTATTTCTCTAAGAAAAATTCTTTCTTTTTACTTTATTTAGTACATGTTTATATTCCAAGAAAAAACCTCACACTTGAGAAGAATAAAAAATTAGATGGTGCTAAATTGCTTTATGAAAGAATTTACCACAGCCTTCCAAATGTTTATACTTTTCCTTTTGTTGAAAATTTGAAATATACATAGATTTATATACAGCTTTTCAGAAACGTGTCGGGATAGTGAGGTGACTTCTGCCGAATTTTAAAAAGTTTAATCAGGGTGACAGTTAAGGATTTTAAACCTAAATACAATATATAAGCTTTAATATCTTAGAAAATTGGTTAAATTTATGTAATTATATTTGTCTTAAAATGAGGAGTGCAAACAAGTATTTAGGTTTACTAATTCAATAAGCTGATTTACAGTATGGCAGTATCTCATGAGTGCAAAGGTTTGTTTTCAGTTAATGTGCATGTAATTCTTTCTAAGATAATCCAGATAATACTTACCAAGAAATCGTAATTCAGTTCCAAAAGTTGAAGATCATAATTTTTCATTCATCTTACTGCATATATAGGGACCAATTGCAGGATCAGTTTGTATATCCTTTCATTCATTTATTTATAAATTTAATATTTACTGAAAACATGCTAGACACTGAACTACATTTAGGGATACAAAAATAAATAAAAACAGTCTCAGCTCATGTGGGAGAAAAAAAATGAGTAAATTTTTAGATTAAAACATGAGAAAATTTATAATAAGAGCTTAATCAAAGGGGTATTGTGATATTACTTTGACCCCCAATTAGAAAAGCTGTGGAACAGTTTGTATGATACCATTAGGTATTAGAGTAATAACTGAAGAAGGAAGGATTCTTGTTAGGTAACTTGTATATTAAAAGTGGTCTAGTATGATTAAAAGAAGCATAAGGATTTGGAATTAGATTTTTTTAAATCCCTGGGTTCTGCCTCTTCCTAGTTTCCTTGCGGAACTCCCTTAGCTTCATTTTCTTCAGCTGTGGAATTAAGAATAATACCTCATATTGGCGAATTCCATATAAAGATCCTTGCACAATGCCTGAAAAATAGTATATATTTTATAAATGTATACTGTTTATATATAATACACATATTCTGGCTATTATATATAGAATAATAGCCAGAATCTGGCTGTTATTTTAGAATCTTTTAGAATCTAAAGTAGAATTCTAAAATAATTAGAATTCTAAAATAGAATTTTAAAATAATTAGAATTCTAAAATAGAATTCTAAAATTCTAAAATCTAAAATAGATTCTAAAATTCTAAAATCTAAAATAGATTCTAAAATCTATTTTTATAATCTGGCCGTTAGTTTACTTTGCAAAAAATATAGAAAAGATCCTTGGGAAGACAAATATTCTCAAGAGTGGTAGCAAAATGATTGTGAGTCATGGATCTTTGAAATTTTAAATTTAACTGTTCCTGTCTACACAAAAGGAATAAGATAACAAGCAGTCAGATTTCCCCAAGCAGATAGTTCTAACTGTACACGTCTGAAGGCTCTTTTTAACCTTTGGTTGTACTTTTTGTATAGTTATTCTTTAAAATAATTTTAAAATATTGGGAGACTTGGTATAAGCAGTAAGTCACTATGTTGATATGTCTGATTACTTTAAACTAATAATAATAGAACTTCTTTGTGGATTGTTTTATAGGGCCTGGATGTCTTGGAAATTATGAGAAACATTCATATATTTGTGTCTCGATACCTCTATAATCTCAACAATCAAGTGAGTGAGTTTCAGAAAAAAATTTTTTTATATCTTTATTGGAGTATAATTGCTTTACAATGTTGTGTTAGTTTCTGCTATACAGCAAAGTCAATCAGCTATGTGTATACATATATCCCCATATCCCCTCCCTCTTTAGCCTCCCTCCCACCCTCCCTATCCCACCCCTCTAGGTTGTCACAGAGCATTGAGGTGATCTCCCTGTGCTATGCACCAGCTTCCCACTAGCCATCCATTTTACATTTGGTAGTGTATATATGTCAGTGCTACTCTCTCACTTTGTCCCAGCTTCCCCTTCCCCCCACCCCCATGTCCTCAAGTCCATTCTCTACGTCTGTGTCTTTATTCCTGCCCTGCCACTAGGTTCATCAGTACCATTTTTTTAGATTCCATATATGTGCATTGGCATATGCTATTTGTTTTTCTCTTTCTGACTGACTTCACTCTGTATGACAGACTCTAGGTCCACCCACCTCATTACAAATAACCCAGTTTTGTTCCTTTTTACAACTGAATAATAGTCCATTGTATAAATGTGCCACATCTTCTTTATCTATTCATCTGTCGATGGAGATTTAGGTTGCTTCCATGACCTGGCTATTGTAAATAGTGCTGCAGTGAGCATTGTGGTACATGACTCTTTTTGAATTATGGTTTTCTCAGGGTATATGCCCAGTACTGGGATTGCTGGGTCATATGGTAGTTCTACTTTTAATTTTTTAAGGAACCTCCATACTGTTCTCCATAGTGGCTGTATCAATTTACATTCCCACCAACAGTGCAGGAGAGTTCCCTCCCTTTTCTCCACACCCTCTCCAGCATTTTTTGTTTGTAGATTTTTTGATGATGGCCATTCTGACTGGTGTGAGGTGATACCTCACTGTGGTTTTGATTAGCATTTCTCTAATGATTAGTGATGTTGAGCATTCTTTCATGTGTGTGTTGGCAATCTGTATGTCTTCTTTAGAGAAATGTCTGTTTAGGTCTTCCACCCATTTTTGGATTGTGTTGTGTGTTTTTTTGATATTGAGCTGCATGAGCTGCTTGTATATTTTGGAGATTAATCCTTTGTCAGTTGCTTTGTTTGCAAATATTTTCTCCCATTCTGCAGGTTGTCTTTTTGTCTTGTTTATGGTTTCGTTTGCGGTGCAAAAGCTTTTAAGTTTCATTAGGTCCCATTTGTTTATTTTTGGTTTTGTTTCCATTACTCTAGGAGGTGGGTCAAAAAGGATCTTGCTGTGATTTATGTCACAGAGTGTTTTCCTCTACGAGTTTTATAGTGTCTGGCCTTACATTTAGGTCTTTAATCCATTTTAAGTTTATTTTTGTGTATGGTGTTAGGAAGTGTTCTAATTTCATTCTTTCACATGTAGCTGCACCACTTACTGAAGAGGCTGTCTTTTCTCCATTGTGTATTCTTGCCTCCTTTGTCAAGGATAAGGTGACCATAATGTGCGTGCAAGAAAAATTTTTTTAATGTAGAAAGGCTGAGGGGCAAAGAATTGATTCTCAATAGTGCAAGTTAGTAAAATAAAGAAGACAAAAAATAATTGTTTAGAGATCATCTTGTTTATTCTTTTGCTTTGACTGTATTATCATTTTGAATGACTTTTCAATTATCTTTAATAAAATAAAATTGTAAAATTCTTGGGTTAACTGGCCAGTGTTTGCTACTGATTGTGTTTGTTTCATTACAGATTTTTATTGAACGAACAAGCAATAACAAACATTTGAACACTATTAACATTCGGCATATTGCTAATTCAATTCGAACACATGGCACAGGAATCATGAATACAACAGTAAGAACCTTCTGGGAGGGAGGTTGTGTGGGTAATAGACCCCTGTTGAATTTGGTAGTTTGAAAAGTAGTTTTTTTCATCAAATATTCTGGTAAATATACATTATTGCTTGTTTATATTATACCTTAATCTCCATTTTTCTGTTTGGTATAATTAAAATGTCTGTCACTGAAATTGTGTTAGATGTCATGGAAGCTTTGTAATTCAAAAGGCACCTTAGGGACTTCCTTGGCGGGCCAGTGGCTAAGACTTCTCCTTCCAATGCAGGTGGTGTCAGTTTGACCCCTGGTCGGAGAGCTAAGATGCCACATGCCTCGCAGCCAAAAAATCCAAAACATAAAACAGAAGCAGTATTGTAACAAATTCAATAAAGACTTTAAAAATGGTCCACATCAAAAAAATCTTAAAAACAAAAAAAGGCACTTTAGAATGTTTTAGTATCTTAAGATCATCATTATAAATAACATTGGAGATTTGAGGACATCAGCATTAAGTATATATCTGGGTGGATTTTTTGATATTTTCTGTAAGTTGCTTCTGAAAGCAAATCATTGATAGTTTATTTAACATCAGTCATGCTCTTTTTTTGGGAGGGCATTTACTAGTTATTTGATATCTATAAAAATAGCAATTTTCTGAAAAAATATCTTGAATCTTCTTAGAAATGAGCATTCAGTCACTTGCAAGAATCATTTGAGCTTATATGCTATGTTTCCTTCAATGGAAAAAGAGAAGTCTTTAAATTTACCTGGTTTTCAGGCCACAGTTTCTCCTTGAGGAAAGAAGAATGCAAATGTTTAAATAGTAAAGTGTTCTTAAGCGTATTTGAGTAAGGGAATAGGGAGAAGTTACATGACTGGAAAGTTACATAGGGACCATTTTAGTGTAGTGGGGAAGCCATTGAAGTCTTTGAGCTGATAAGTAATGTGATTGGAGCTCTGTTACTGGTTATCAATAGAGGAAGGGGCCATAGGTAGTCAGAGTTTCAAATTTAAAACAAGGAGTTATCCATGTAGAGATGTCTGAGCCTTTCAGGATGAATAAACTCTGAACCTTTAAGGATCAAACTCTTCTTTGACCTCATCTGTCAAACACTCATTCATGTAACAGATATAATTATGCTCATATTTTATGTGTCTCAGGCACTGTGCTGGGCACTGGGATAAGAAAAACAGACATTTCCTGCTGTCATAGTAATTGTACTCTAGCAGGAAAAACAGTTGTTAATCAGTTAACCACACTAATGAATGTAAATTCGTGATGTCTGGTGATGATGAGGTGAGCATAGAAGAAATAAGAGTTACCTGGCAGAGTTACCCACTCTTAAGAATGGAAAGGGTATGGGCTTCCCTGGTGGCGCAGTGCTTAAGAATCTGCCTGCCAGTGCAGGAGACACGGGTTCGAGCCCTGGTCTGGGAAGATCCCACATGCCGTGGAGCAACTAAGCCCGTGCACCACAACTACTGAAGCCCATGCACCACAACTACTGAAGCCCGTGCACCACAACTAGTGAAGCCCATGCACCATAGAGCCCGTGCTCTGCAACAAGAGAAGCCACCACAATGAGAAGCCTGCGCACCACAACGAAGCGTAGCCCCCGTTCGCTGCAACTAGAGAGAGCCCGTGCAGCAACAAAGACCCAACGCAGCCATGAATGAATAAATAAATAAGTGTATGGAAAGGGTAAAGAAGAGACTACTAAGACTACTACTGCTGACGAGATCAAGAAAAAGCAATGTTTAAGCCACAAGAAAAGTTCTGAGAAAGCACGCATTTATATAACTGGGTGATGAAGACTGTTACGAAGGGCATACTTGTGCAAAAATAATTAGTAATATTTGAGGGTGGTGGGGATGGAAATTAGTACAAGGCTTTCATCTATAGGTCAGAATTAATCTTGTTATTTTGACTTTAATCTCAGCTCCAATCCTATTTTTTTCAGTGTTTTCTGAGTCTAGGTCAGGGCCTTTTAACCCATTCTCAGAACACCTATACTTCTCATTTTAGAAATTATTGCAGTTGAGATATAATAGTTTATTTAACATATACTTGTCTTAAAATGCCTGTCCTGCTAGAATATACACTTCATGATGATGACCATGTCTAGCATGAGAGCAGGTACATTGCCTTGTACATAAGAGGTGCTCAAAATATTTATGGATAAATAATTGAATGTTTACTCTCCTCCTTCAGGAAAGGTCTCTTGCACCATGTTTCTTACTTTAGTATCGTTTTAGACATGTACATTAGTAATAAGTAATCTTATGAATGGTGGAACATAGAAGCTTCTGAGTGTGGTTTATGACTTGAAAACTAGAGCGTCAAATCTGGTTTATGATTCTCACTATAGCTCTTAGTCTTATTATGAAAGTATTTTCCATTTTTTTAATATCTTTTTTCCTTTTGTGTCATAAAAATATTTAAGGGGAGCTTTTAGAAAGCTCTGTAAACTTGGGCAAAAAAAACTTCATTTATTTAAATAATTCAGGTCCAACATGAATTAGACTTTATAAATAGATTATTTTATTCAGTAATATTGATTTGAAATTAATTTTCATAACATTCTCCAATTTTTGAAATTTTAATTTTACAGGTTAACTTCACCTACCAGTTTTTGAAAAAGAAGTTCTATATATTTAGCCAATTTATGTATGATGAACATATCAAATCCAGATTGATTAAAGATATTCGGTTTTTCAGGGAAATCAAGGACCAAAATGATCATAAGGTATTTTTACATCTTCTTTTTAAGGTAGTTTGATTTAACTGTTGAGTATATAAGCATACCTTATATTACTGTGCTCTGCTTTATTGTGCTTCTCAGATACTGCCTTTCTTACAAATTTGTTTGTGGCAAACCTGTGTTTTCAGATGATGGTTAGCAGTTTTTAGTAATAAAGTATTTTTAAATTAAGGTATGTACATTTTTTTATACATAATGGTATTGCACACTTAATAGACTGCAGTGCAATGTAAACATAACTTTTATATGCACTGGGAAACCAAAAAATTCATGTTACTTTATTGCGATATTTGCTTCATTGTGGTGGTCTTGAACCAAACCTGTAGTATCTCCAAGGTTTGCCTGTATGGCAAATGTTTATGCTAAAATTCATTTTGGGTTTTTTTTCTCTTGGGTTGTTTTTTTCTTTATTATTTTTCACATAACGTCTCCTTGATTTGGCTTCCTATTTTCTATATTTTCCCTTGCAATTTCTTACTCTGTGCATTCACTGTAAACAAAAGTGTAAGGAAAAATTAAATGATCAATGTAGTCAGGTGTTACCTTTCTTTCTTTTAAAATAATACACAAGCAGAACATACTCATTTTGAAACATTTAGGCAATATAGAGTGCATAAACTAAATCTCCTCCTTCATTTCTCTTTCCTTCCAGTTCCATTTTCTGGAGGCAGTTGCTATTAACAGTGTCATGTGATGCCCTCCAGATGTCTGTGTGATAAACATGTATTTGTGCATTACAAATACTGCTTTTTTTTCCTAACAAAAATGGACTAAAACTAAACATACTGTTTTGCGGTGTGCTTATCACATGTCAGTACCTATAGGTGTACCTCATTCTTTTAAAGAGTTGATAGTAAAGATGTATACTGCAACTCCTTTAACCTTCTCCTACTGAGTGGATATTTAGTTTTTTCTGTGTTACAAATGGTGCTACACATAACATCTTCGAACATTTATCTGTGTGTTCAAATATTTTTGAAAGATTCCTTGAAGAGGAAAAGGGCAAAGAATATGAGTATTTAAAATTCTGATACATATTGCCAAGTACTCTAAAAATACTGTACCAACTGACAGTCCCATCTATAATTTATAAGAATGTCATTTTCCCTTCACCCTCAGGGCTAAGTTTTCCCATAGTGAAATGAAGAATTGCAAGTGGTAACAGTACAGAGGCATATAGCCATGTGGATGGAGAACCAACAGGCTTAGATGGATCTTAACGTTTGATGTGCCGCATCCAGAACTGTCTTAAGCATCACCTAGTTCCAGCCCTTTTATACACTAGTTTAGTTCTTTTCAGTGTCAGAGCGGCAAAATATTACTTTCTGGTGAAATAATTATTAAAATTACAGATTACAGTTATCAGTACAAAATTATATTCACTCATCTTTATTGGAACAGAAGTTACTAGTGTTTAGAGAAATAAATAATAACACTGTTGTTGGATAAGTATTGTTTCCATTTTTTATTAATATAAAATGATTAATTTTCTAAATCTTTTAATGGGCTAAGACTTGAAAAATTATAAATCCCTGATACTTCTCAGGCCATGGAAACTTGGTCACACATTTCTGAACAAATGTTTCTAGGAGGAATTGATTTCGTTTATCTATCTGACAGAGTTGTTGGGTCTAGGGAGACAAATAATGTTGGTGGAAAACCTAAAGTTGGTGGCATTAATAATTATTCTCCTTATTTAATTTGTATTTACCTTGAATATTGGTAGTTTTTGTGCTATAAATTTTTTGTCATTAGACTTCAGTGACTTTTTTTAAGCACAATGGAAATACAAAATTAGAAAGGACAGTGGTATTGTCATGGTAGGCATTTTATGTTTTAGGGGTCTTTGTTAATAATGGTAGTCTTCAAATTATCTCTCTAGTATCCTTTTGAAAGAGCAGAAAAATTCAATCGAGGCATCAGAAAACTTGGAATAACCCCAGAGGGACAAAGCTACCTTGATCAGTTCAGGCAGCTCATCAGCCAGATTGGTAAGTTATTGTAAAAGTGTTGTTGGGAAATAAAGTGCAAACCCCAAGAATCTATCGCATATTTTAAGTATCTCATACGAATAAACTTCAGTATGTGAGTGCCTGAGTTCAGCTTTATTCCACTAATAATTTCCTTTTCTTACTAAAAGTTTTTCAAGTATGATTAGACTGTTGGTGCATAATAATTAAGAGATTGTGGATTAATTTAAATAAATGAAATATTTATAAATAAAATAATATAAATATTTTTGTGGATAAGCTCTTCAGTTAAATTAAAAATATAATAACTAACTCATCTCAAAGGCCATACTCATGGTAAATAGTCAACTGGTAACTATTTATTGGGTACCTACTCTGTTCAAGGCACTGTTTTAGACTTTTAAAAGTTAAGCCTAAATGCAAAGGTGTAAAATGTTTATGTGAAAAGTTAACTAATAATTTTTCTATGCTACATCATTTCATATTTATATATAATTTCTTGAGTTGTCCTTCTGCTTACAAGTAGAACTTGTCTTCTGAAATGTGTAATACTATATTTAAAAACAAGAACTGCATTTAAAAATAATCCTAGATTAAAAAAACTTCATGCTTACTAGAGCTTTTCACATGTATTATCTCTATTAATATCCACACAGTAACCCTTGAGATTGGCACGTAGTCATGTTTTTAAAGATGAAAAAAGAGAAACACAAGAGAGATAAGTGGCGTGGCTGGGACTTTTTTGGCTCCAAGTCCAAAGGTGTTTTGTATTCTTCACAGTTGCAGACACCAAGCAGTTAGTAAATTCTTACTGACTATAATTTGGTAAAATTGTGCCTCCTGAGATTCATTCATTCATTTATCAAACATTTATAAAGGCTCTGTTATACCAGATATTTTTCTAGATGCTGAGAATACAAATAGCCTTTGTTCTAAGGGGCTTTAAGTTTACTAGTGGGAAGGGTGTTATAAGCATTTAGTTAGGTAGTAAAGTCAGTGAGCACTAGCTTAAGTTTTATAAATTAATTGGTTTACATATTAGGCCTTTCTATTTTGTATTAGTACAAGAACTTAGAGAATTTTACCTTAGTAAATTTTTAATTTTAAACAATAATGAAGTATTTTCAAATAAGTACTTTTTTATTCATAGTAATATTTGATGACATATTAGATTGTAAACGCTTGGAGCAATAGTTTTTAACCCTTTCTGAGAATCTGATGAAAACTCTGGATTGATTTTTGTTTTTCCCAGAACAATGCCCATATGCACGTCACGTACATTTTTGAGTATAGTATACTGGAGTTCAGATGCTCAAAGTCAGAGTCCATGGGCCTCAAATTAAGAGCTGTTTTTCTGGAGCAGTGTTGCTTAAAACTTCACTTAATTCATACACCAGTATGAGTTTTTTCCCCCATGTGAATACTGCCTGGTTGGATTCTGGCTACATTTTGAAGGTAGAGCCAACATAATTTGCCCATTGATTAGATATAAAGTGTGAGAGAAGGGAAAGAGTCAGGGATGACTTCAGCGCATTTGGCCTGAGCTACTGGAAGGATAGAATTGTCAGTTTCTAAGGTAGAAAATATAATTGGGGGTGAAGATCTTGAGTTTGAGTTGAACTTACTAAATTAAAATTTCTCTTAGACATGTAGGTGTAGGCATTGGATAAAAAAGCCTAGAGGAGTAGCCCAGGTTGGAGATATTAGTTTGGGAGGCATCAAATAAGGATTTCTGAATATCACTTCCATCTGTGTGTGTGTATGAGAGTGAGAGAGAGACACAAACACATACTTAATGTGAGTGAAGAAATTATTGATATAGTAATATATTAAAGTGATTTTTTAAAATGTAGTCAGCATTTAATGACTTTACAAGTGAAAGTTACATTTATTTTAAAAATATTTAATATAGATGTATATATATACCTTTATATTTTAAGTGCACAAATATGTAAGTTTTATTTTTATGGAGCAAAAACTGAAGTATAAAATACAGCAAAATCTCTTGCTACTTAGGAGTGGAAACCTTGTAATTGCTATAAATAACTGTATTCCTGATTATTAGAACTTAGAGTTATTTGTATAAACATCTGATTTTTTTTGTGTGTGGTTTTTAAGGTAATGCTATGGGCTATGTACGGATGATAAGATCTGGTGGGCTTCATTGTAGCAGCAATGCCATTAGGTATGGATGCAAACATATTTTTGCCTTGTTTATGCCATTTAGAAATTTTATGTCATTTAAATATGTCTTTTTTATAAGTAATATTGTAGAGAGGGTTTTTTTCTTTTTTGTTGATACATTTTCAGGTCAAATATGGAAGAAAATCATTAGTTGTACTAGTTAAATTTTTTCTCAAATTTTAAGACTACAGCAGACCGTTGAAAAGCTTTATTTAGTTAACTTATAAATAAAGCTTATAGTTAACTTAAAGTTATAATTTCTTTTATTGGTACAGTTTGTGAATGGTTCTATAGATTACATGATTTTTAAGGATAATTTGATTATTCATATATCTAAAATTCAATTGTGGAACTAAAGTGGTTATATTAATAATATAACTGAAATGCAAAATTCTTTCCAAAGATACAGTTGAAAAATTTAGAGTCTTACAGTACTGCTTTCATATCTGTGTCAGTTGCACATATTTAACTTAATAAATTCCTTCCCAAATTCTTATGTAGATTTGTACCTGATCTTGAAGATATTGTAAATTTTGAAGAACTAGTAAAAGAAGAAGGTCTTGCAGAAGAAACATTAAAAGCAGCTAGGTAATCTAATTTTGGAATAATTTAAATTTGGAGATTTGAAAAGTATATGTTCATTTAAATGTTAAAGACAAGACTAGAGGGTAATATATAAACTTATATGTCAGTGTTTTTACTCTGCAAGTAATGATCTCAGTTTATGAAATATAATTTTTTCAAGACTACAGTATTCTGATGCCTTTCCAACTTCCCTAAAAGGAATCTTCTAGACCATGGGTTTCTAATACATGTGACTGTTGAACACTTGACACGTGGCTAGTCCGAATTGAAATGTGCTAAAGTGTAAAGTTCATAAGTAATTTTGACGATTTAGTGTTTAAAAAAGAATGCCAAATATCTCATTAATAAAATTCATTTCACTTATTTCTTCTTACTCTTTTTAAATATTTCTATTTGCCAACTAGTATTTCTAGAATACTAGTCCTTCGTTTCATGTAATCTGTAGCAGCAGTGTCCAGTACAGTAGTCACTACCACATGTAGCTGTTGAATACTGGAAATAGGGCTAATGGGACTAGGGAACTGAATTAAAATTTTTATTTCATTTAAATTTAAATAGCTAATGACTATCTTATTGGACAGTGCAGATCTACAGACTTGAGTAAATGGTGATTTTGGAAAACAATTTAAAACTTGAGAGAGGCATGCAGAATTGTTAAGAAAGTCTTTAGAAAACTAAGTTATAGTATTAATAATTGTAACACTTATTGAGTCAGGCATGAAAGAGCACCCCTGGGCAAAGTGGAGACAATTTGAATATCAAAAAGAATAATGGTAGAAATTGCTTATAATACATTGAATTTAAAAAAGAAACCGTGAGTATAGTGATAATAAGAAAAGTTGGAGAAGCAGAGGGAAAGTTCCTTTTTACAGTGCTAGCCAGCTAGTAAATACAGAAGGGATGAGAAAATTTAGGAAAAAAAACAGTTTTGCAACCATCACTGTAATACTTGAAATGAGACAAATCGTCAGTGGGTTCTCAAACATTTTTGGAGAACAGAGTATTCATTCACTATGAAAAAATTATCTCAGAAATTGATTATTAATCACAAAGGGAAAAAACATCTTCACAATGCAGAGACTGATGTATTCCACCTTAACCAAGTGATCAAACTTAGCATCACCAGTAACAGGACATGCTGACATTATAGGGCCCCCTGATGTAATGTAATGGCAAGTACCTATTTTGTATTCTCGCCCAAAATATTTACTCATCAAGTGAAGGAAAGTTCGTGGCAGGTGAAGTCATGGAGTTATGAGGTTATGATAATGAATTGATTATCTAAGTGGACACTAAGTCTTCCAGAATGATGAGGAGAACTGGAGTAGGTCTCATAGTCCAAGATAAACACATGTAGAGCAGTGGTTAAAACTGTTATAGATGCCTGCTTTCAGGAGGGGGTAGTTGGATATAGTTGGATCATGAGTCTCGAAGGAGAGATTTCTAAGACCGTCTAGTGGTGGGGGAATAATAATTTGAAAGTGGTAATAGCTATACGTAAGGGATGTAGGAGAAAAAGCAGTTAATGTTTCTGAAGGTTAAGTGGGAAGCTAAGTTCTTCAAAAGGAGATGGGTTTCAGTTGAGGTAAGGAGGTATAGAAGAAGTGTTAGTGAAGAGATTTAAGATGAAAACGAACTTATTCACAATGAAATGGAATTCTACAGGGCTCATTGTGAGAAGAAGAAATAGAAAATTCTATAAAGTTTCAAGAGGCCCTACATATTCTGTTTTAGGGACTAAGTTAATTAAATCATTGATTAGCCTCTGTCCATAAAAAGATGAGTCCATTCTGAACCCCAAGGGAGTTACTTAGAGATGTCTTGTATTTCACATTTTTGAGTGCTCTCATCTAAACTAATGAGAAGTGGATTTTAAAAGCCACATCTTCTTTTGAGAAAGGAACCAAGTAAATAATTTTTTTGCATTTTAGGCATTTGGATTCCGTCCTCAGTGATCACACACGAAATTCTGCCGAAGGCACAGAGTATTTCAAAATGCTTGTGGATGTTTTTGCTCCAGAATTTCGAAGGCCGAAGAATATACATCTCCGAAATTTCTATATCATTGTTCCACCTCTGGTGAGTATTTTTAGTACCCAAAATGAATTTTTTGAAAAAGTATTAATAAATAGATCCAGTTTTTATTACAGCAGGAAATGCAAACAGACTATATTGTTGACTTTCTGGTTGTAGATAAAACTAAATGTGGTCTCAGTGAATGCGGCCTAGAATTTTTACTTATTAGCTATGTAGAATGAGACTTATTCATAGTTCAGATAGATTCTTATTTGTTCATAACAGCCAGAGAAATCCTAGTGTGATTTAAATTACTTGAGCATACACTATTTTACACACACACACACACAACACACACACACACACACACACATATAATCTTTGGGCTGAATTATACCATACAGTCATTTTAAGTGATTAGTGTAGACTGTTACAATATGAAGTATTTCTTAAAAGCATACTATTTGAGGACAACTTCTTTCTTTTTGGTAGTAAATATGAACATCTAAGCTAAAATTTTAGTGCTTTCTTGTTGTAGTATATGGTATGTTTTGCTCTAATTCTGTAGTTGGCATCTTAAAAATAGCTCAAGTTAACCAAAATCGCAATATAAAAACAATTGTCACAGTGGGGAAAATGGAGTTAAGAGATGAGAGAGGTATATATAGCAATAAGAGTTATTTTTCTATAAAGGTTTCTATAACAAAGCTCTTTCTTAAAAAATTTGTAAATGGATAGCTCTAAAATCTAAATATCACTGAGCAGACGTAGCTTTTGATTACATCTAACTTTGATCTAGTTATAAGTTTTCACGTTGCTGCCTGAATTAACACATACGTTCTAACATATTTGAACCATTATTATCCATTGAAAGCAGCTGATGGTCTATGGACAGCTTTTTTCTTCACGCATTTTCCTTTCTACGGTTTTTTTTTATACGTTAATTGTTAATGCTCTCTTATAATAATTGTTACGTAGCAAAAATGTCCACAGTTATCTGATAGGCATTATCTTTTCATCTTCAGATATGAATAGAAGTGTCAGATTGGAGGCGAGTCTATCTTAGTTTTACTTTGATAATAGTGTAGTTAACTCATGGTGAGTTCTCACCATCTTTCTTTAATTTGAAGTCATGATAAACAGCAATGGCAAACCGTTGTGGGATTGAGGAAGAGTCTAGTTTTGCAGAGCTGCTGTCAGATTTCAGTTAGTGATGGAGAAAACAAGAGGGATTACGAACACTACAAAGAAGAGAAGTATAGGACACTATTCTTGTGTCCTTGAGTTTATAATCTAATTCCAGAAAGAAGACAAACAAATGAGATATCTAAAGATTTAAGTAACAGTTGACAAAGATTTTATAAAATGTCATTAATTGCCAAGTAAGTTTTACAGGCAAAATAAGTGGAACTTGATAATCTTGTTTACAGTGTAGGCTATTATAGTACTTACCACACTGTACCATAATTAGTTTTAAACAGGTCTCTCTATGTCCCAGTGCTGTGCTATCCTTTTGTAGCCCCTAATGGCCACTTAAATGTAAATGAGTTAAAATTTTATGAAGAAATTCAGTTCAGTTCCTAAGTTTTACCATACACATTTCAAGTGCACAGTGGCCATATGTGGCTGGTGGCTTACTGTATCGGACAGTGTAGATACACAGCATTTCTGTCATTGCCAGGAGTGCTGCTCTGTAGAGTGTGAACTCTTTGATGGTATTCATTTTTTTATTGTAATTATTTAATAATGCCTGGTATTATTATTAAGTTTCAGTAAATATTTGTTGAATAAATGCTATGATTAGATAAGGTATTTCAGAGGAGCTAAACTTTTAGGGAAGTGCTATTTTTGGGGGGAATTTGTTTATCCAAATGACTACTAAGCCTTTTAAACTGAGAATATGGTAAGAACTACTATTGTAAAATGAATTGGGTGGGCAGAAGTAAGGACTGCCATGCTTAAGAGTGCTTAAGCTTTTAAGTAAAGCAGGCTTACTTTTCTGACTACAACCTTGATTTAGAGTATGACTTTAGGCAAGTTACTAAACCACTCAAGTCTCAGTGCCTTCATTTGTTAAATGTGCATAATATTTTAGAATGAACCATACACAAAAGCGCTGTGCTTGGGTTAAGTGGTGATTGAGGGAGTGCTCATATTTAAAGGACTTGGAAAGAAGAGCCATGAAGAGATACTTACACAGATTATGACCTCACCAAGAGGCTATTTATACGAGGGAAATGTTTCAAATCAAAAGGACAGGAGCTTAGAAGAGATCCTGTTTATAATTTTTGAAATGTCTGTTTTAGGAACTGAAGATTTTTTAGCACAATTCTTTCTCTAATATGTTGTTATATCTTTTTAGACCCTCAACTTCGTAGAGCATTCCATTAGTTGCAAGGAGAAATTGAATAAAAAAAATAAAATTGGAGCTGCCTTTACTGATGATGGCTTTGCCATGGGTAAGCTTAGTGGAATTGTTTTCTCATGAATTTTATGTTTACCTTACAATGGATTTTTCAGAATGTTTGCTTGAGAATAGAGCTGTGTGCTCTTTGTAGATTTGTTTTTCATGAGCAGTGTTTACTGTATTTTTTGGCTGGGTCATCTGACTGACCATTATTTATACTGTTGTTCATGCTCTTTTGGTATTGCTAATCACTTAGAGTGGTTGGACCTAATTATTTAGGCTTTGTTTTTGTTGTGGTTTTATTTACAGTTTGAGCATCTTGTATTTAGTTTCCTGTAGCTTCCTAGTTGTCTATTCAGCAGTGGAAGTTTTTCCCCACCTTTACAGCCATATGTTATCTCCAGGTGATTTTCATAGCCATGTTATTTCTTCTTGATTGGCCTTTTTTTTAGTTCTGTATATGTTTTTAAGGAGGAATTAAGCCATGTTGCTAAACTTATTCATTTGTGCTGTAAAATGTAATTTGAAAGAGGATTAATTCAAAATGGTTAGCTTAATTTTAGGAATTATTGGTGGAGTAGAATATAACTTGTCTACACATTGTAATTTCGTTTTGGTTTTGCTGGTGACTCTAGGTGTGGCTTATATTCTGAAGCTTTTGGATCAGTACCAGGAATTTGACTCACTTCACTGGTTCCAGTCTGTTAGAGAGAAGTACCTGAAGGAGATAAGAGCAGTTGCTAAGCAACAGAATGTGCAGTCAACTAGTCAGGATGAAAAACTACTACAAACCATGAATCTCACTCAGAAGCGACTGGATGTTTATCTACAGGTAGACGAGAGTAACAGTCAGATCTGCTTTGATTTTTTTTTTTTTTTTTTTTTTTTTTGACTTTTTAATATACATTACTTGATCATTGAAGAAACATAAATCATATTGAAACTCCCATTTTAACAAGTGAGATGAATAGTGGTCATAAGAGTATATTTTTAAATGAATGGTATTTGGAAGCCATTTGACTCATATCTTAAAAAATGGGTGGATTACACAGTTCAGTTTCTGTATTTGCGATTTGCACTCACTAGAGCTTTTTAGAAATAATGAGATATTAAATATAAATTTGATGTTTTACTAAAGTATTTTCAGCTTTTATTTCTAATTTTTTTAATTTACTTAGGAATTTGAATTGCTCTGTTTCTCACTGAGCAGTGCAAGAATTTTCTTCAGAGCTGACAAGACTGCAGCTGAAGAAAACCAAGAAAAGAAAGAGAAAGAAGGTCAGTGAGTGGCTTAAATTTGGAAAGACCAATAAATCTGTCTTTAGTAGTAGACACGAATACCCCATTTTATCTAGTCAGACTTTTATTTTTGAAAAATAATATAGACCTAGAAATGTCGTTTTAAAGAAGTAAAGCCTAAGGGGATCATTTGTGAAACTGAAAAGAAATTTAACATAGATTATGCATTTCATTCTGAGATAACTCTTTATTCAGTTCATCTCAATTAAAAAAAATTTACCAAGTTTAGGGTTTTTTCTTTCACCCTTCAACTGTATCAGATAAGAAGGAACAAATTAGAGGAGGAGACTAAATGTTGGCTTAAGTCAGAGCTGCTGATGACTAGACACTGACTGAATGTATGGGACAGGTGATTAAGGAGACATAAAATAGTCAGGGCCATTTTAGTGTCACAGTAATAGCCTCCTGTGCTCCTCCATAGCCATGCCTTGGAGAATTAGAGAGCAGTAGAGCCATAATAGCTGATAGTCATTAAGGAGAGGATTCTGTCCGTTATATTCTTTGTGGGTGTAAATCGTTCAGCATTTCATACTTAAGGGTACATTTCTCTCAAATTTGAAATTTAGCAACAATTGTCTTCCCTGAAGAATGGATATTTCCTTTTTTCTGTTATGGAAATTATGTAACTTAGGTTTCCTCTTTGGAAGCTTAAAACTAGGTATAGCAACATGACAGGTTTCATGTTTGCTCTTTTTCCTTTTTCTTACTTGTATTTCACAAATCAAGAATAAAAGATACTTCATAAAACGTGATGTTTTTATTAATCTTATTTTGCCAGTTAGATTTTAAAATAAATATGTTTTTCACACTGAATAGAGGTGATTCATTTGGGTAGACCACTTATATCAGTTACCCTATTCCCTGTTGATAATGTTCCATCAGTATTACTTATTAGCATGTGCAGGCATTTTTGGAATCTAGACTGAATAATAATCGTGTTCTTGAAGAATGACTGCCGGCTGTTACCTGGAAGATACTAAATATTTATTAAATAAAAAAATATATGTGTTATGTTTGGGTTCATTTAAAAATAATATTTAGCAAATATTATTTTTGATAATAATATTTGGAAGAATTTGAGTCAGTATAATCTAAATTGTGAAGAAACTGAGTTATTGCTTACGTTCTGCTCAGGCCTTTCATGATGCCAGAACCTTGTCTCCAGCCTAGGTAACTGGCAATATTCTGCAGGTGGATTGGCCATTTACTTTAAGGCCTAAAGCATTAAGACAAAACAGACATTTCAGTCTCAGTGGAGCTCCTTGCTTTGGACTGCTGTTCTTAAGGAGCTTTCTAGGGTTTTGGGTAGTGTATGTCACCCACGTGCCTGATGCTGGGTGGTGGTTCTGTTTTAGGAGTCTGTTTTAGCTAAAGTTTGCTCAGAGATGTTGTCAAAGTTGCTGAAAACATTAGTTTTTCTCTGTTAATGAAATATACATATGACATTTTTCACAAAAGGCAGAAATTCATTTTATCACAGTCATAATAAAAAATGCATTTAAAAATAAATTATAAATACAGTTGGAAAGTTATTCATTCTGGACAATTTTATATGTGAATTTGTAACCATGTTTCTATCAATAATAGCACTACAATTTCTTGGCCCAGCTGGGGGAAGGTGCAGTGTGAAACCCACCTCAGATGCAGTTTTGCTCTCTCACAATTCTCTACCACTATTACAAACCAGTCAAAACAATTACATTTGCAATATTTAGCCTAGATTTCTAAAAAATTAAGGTAAATAAACTACATATAATTTGTGATATTAGAGAAACATTTGGTGGATGTAGCATTTTCTTAATTTGAAATTTAGCAGTATAGTCCTTCTTAATTTTTTTTTTAGTCCTTCTTATTTACTTAATTCACTTTTTAAAATGAACATAAATATGTCCATTATTTTCACTCATGCTTCCAGAAGAGACTAAAACAAGCAACGGAGACCTGTCCGACAGCACTGTGTCTGCAGATCCTGTTGTCAAATGATACTGATGGTATGCGTTGCCCCTATGAAATCATCAGAATTGTATATGAAATGGATGTTAATAAGCTAATAACCAAGTGTTTCCTGGGTCACATCTCTGGGAAATATTTAGATGCTGCAACTCTCTAAGGCAGTGCTCTAAAGTTAAGTCCATTCTTCTTCTGAAGGCTCTACTTTTCAAAGGTTGAGAATGAGATTTTAAAATCAGATTTTTGTCTGGACTTTGGCTAGATGTGCCTGGGAACAGTTATTTGAAATGAAGTTTTAGAAGGGTTAACTTAAATTCCTAAACTGCCACCTCAGACCTCTTGTAATCTACATGAATGTTTATAATTTGTATTTGTATAGGTCTTTGATCCATATTTGTCTCAGTCATTGGAAATTCAGTGCATATACTATGTACATCCGGTAATGTTTAAACAAAAGGAATTGAGCCTGAAATTCATGAAGCATACATATCAATATTCTTATAAAAGGGATATATGAAGATGGTTTTGATACTAGAGGTGAGGCATAAGTGTTATGTACCCTTTTTGTACAGTGTGAACTGATTCACTGTTAATTTCATGTGGCTCACTAGAGCTGCTGCTGTCTGTGGTGAGATATTTTATAACTAGTTTACATTGCTTTGAGAACATTTAACCTCCAAAAACTGCTTTAAATTTAAGATTTACTTAATACTCAAGGGGGAAGAAAATACAGATAAAGCCATAGAGTCCTGCTTGAAGCTTTACTTTTGGCTGAAGGCATTATGTATGATAGCAGAGAAAATTGAATGAATTCTTATTTCTACATCCAAACTCAGGTTTCTTCTACATTAGGTTGAACTGAAGTCTTGATGATGGTTTGGGCAGACTTTTTCTTTAAACCAAGTATAATCTAAGAAATCAGATTAAGCACTGTGCAGGCTTTTAAAAAATTACCACTGTGAGAATAAAGTTCTAATAAACTAAACCACTTACTGATTTAAAAGGTACAGAAAGATTTTGAGTAAATTTAGTTCCTGGCAAGCTATTAGCTTTATTTTTGTAAAGATTATATCAGTTAAATGGTTAATCATGGCCTATAATCTTTTAATATAATACAGTGATACCTTTACAGTGAAAACAAAAAAGTTTAAAACTTTATGTGTAATACTAACATCATTTTAGGAAATACTTGATTTTTCCATTGCACTTGCCTATTAAGCATTTCTTTGGGTAAATCCTGCAAGTAATTCTAACATTGTTGTTTGATTTCCAGCTTTTGGAACGGGTGTACAATGCCCTGTCTGTATTCATTGATCACAGTCAGGGTAACTTTCCCAGCTCAAGATAACACTTTCACTGTTAAAATTCAGAAGAAACAGAATAGGTAGGAAGTGTTTTTTGTTTATTATGTAAACATGATTTACAGAGTTATGTACAATGGATGGATTAAAGGCATTTAATATTTGTAATATGTACTAACTGTAGAAATGGCCCTAAAGCATGCTGCATAATTAATAATTTATATTTTCATTATTGTAAATGTTTATATTAATGATCTTGCATTTGATTGTATCAAATTGGTCACCATTTCATAGCAACAGTATTGTTTTTTCTGTTTTTCTTCTCTAACTTCCCTAAAATCATCTCCTTTAATAGAGATAGAAATTCTAAATAGAAGAGAATCAGATGTCTCTGTCATTATCCCCACACATGTCAGTTATTTTATCAATACTAGATAGAGTTCACATGCTGACTGCATGGATACCTACAATTGAGAAAAATGTGACAGATTATTATTTTGCCTTTAGTTCAAAATAATGTCACTGCAGTCTGGATGAGGTATAATAAGTTTACTTATTTGAAATAAAATCTCTGAAAAGATTAAGCATATTTAAATGCTGTTAAAAGTGCAGAGCAACAGGACTTGAGTGTTTTACACCTAAGTTGATGTACACATTTAGATGACAGTTTTCCTTGCTGATGTATTGTTAATATTCTCATTTTTTCAGACATACTGCAGTTTAAAAATCAGTGTGAGCATTTGTTGTAAACTCACAGAAAACTTAATGTTCAAATTCTCAGGAATTAAGGACTAACCGTAACATTGTCAGTTCTAATTAAATTTTATAAAAGATGGCAAGTTTGTTATCTCCGTTAAGTGGGGCTTTCCTCTTCCCCAGTTCTAAGAGAATACAATATGCATTGATATAATAGAACATTAATAAATATAATTTCAAAAATTTACTTCCTCTGGATGTTTATGTTCAAAATTGAATGTCTTAACCCCAGTAGTTCTTATATTGATCTTTTTGGAGTTCCTTTTATCTAATAGTGTGTGGAATCTCTTTAAAAAAATACTTGCGTGCACATAGGCAAAATTTCAAGTATAAAACTGGTACTGGCTCCTCTTTGTGTATCCCAGGTGGACTTTTGTTTTCTTTCCTTTTTATATTCTTAATCTTTCTATTGCTTGCTATTTTCAAATAAAAGAACCCACATGAATGTTTAATTTTAAATCTTAATCCTGGGAAGGGATCATTAGTTTGCAATGCTGTAGTGCCATTTGCAGTCATGACTTGAACTGAAACAGTCGTAATAAAGGAAAGCCTTTTAAATACTGTGCTGGAGAAAAATGTTCTTGCTCAGAAAGTCTGATTGCTGCTCCTTCTGAGGAGAAAAGTTTGTAAGGTTGTGGGAAAGATGAGACAATACCATCACATACATTGTCACGTTACTCTTTTCTGTTGGATTGGCCAAACGTAAAAGGTAGACTTTAACCAATTTTAATAATTTTAGTTCTTCTTCCAGCTTAAGGTGCAGAAGTTTCAGACTGATGGTATACCTTTTCTTAACAGAGACTTAATGCTACAGTTTTTTGTTTTTAGATATTAGGAACAATTTAACAGGTTGTCAAAGACTTCAGTTTTAAAAAAGGAATCCAGAATAAGTGGGTCTATAGAGATTACATGAAGTCATAGGACTGTGCAGTGAACTCAGAGATGGTGACAGTAAAAGGAGAGTTTGGTTTATACGAGAAGTTCTTATATACTGTATGAAAGGTCGATTTGGACAAGTATATGGATATTTCCCTCTATTGTAATAGTTTGGTTCTTCTTTACCACCTAGTTTACCGGATAGCGCCGGTTGTTCCTATGAGTGGAGACATACTCAGGAAAGTAGATGAAATTTATCTCCCAATCAGTGCAGATCTGATGTCGTAATTCTGGGACCACCTTTAAGGACTGTACATTCTGTAGTGCAGGTAAGATCTGTGTGTATTGACACATTCTTTGGTAGTGCCCTCATTGTTATTAACATGAGGGAAAAAAAGTTAGCACTTCTGTACCCAGAAGCACCAACTATATAAAATTAGTATTACAGTAATCATTTCAGAATGTGTACAAAAGGTAATAAGGCATTAAAGATGTACTTTTAAGTTGATGTGATTACTGAATATCAGAATAATCTTCAAAGATTAATGTATTGAGAGAAGCATTTGGAGATCGCTTTGTCTCTGGTTTTCTGTGTGTGCTAGTAGTGTAGCACATAGTGGTTAGAAGTGTAGATTTTGGAGCCAGACTGATTTGAATCCTGATTTGCTGCTTACAAGGTTACTTAACGTTTCTGTGCTTCATTTCCTCAGGCATAAAATGGTGTAATAATATAGCTCACAGATTGTTTGAGGATTTAATTTGTATAAAGTACTTTATTAGGAAACTACTATAAATATTAGCTATTATGATTGCTCTTACAAGCAGAAATACACTTGGCATATAATTATTAGCTGTTGAAAAGTTTGAAGATAAACTGTCTGTATTTGAGTTGGTCTCATAAAAACTATTTCTTTTTAAATGGCTCAGCTAAGTGTTGACAATGTAAGGCAGGTCCTGCTCTTCCCTAACGGTAATTCTGACAGGTGGCTAAACAACCAAAGGCAATGCTGGGAAATGAAAATTGGTGAGGCTAGCTTATTTATCCCAGGGATGCAAGGATTCTTCAATATATGCAAATCAGTCAATGTGATACACCATATTAACAAACTGAAGGAATAAAAACCATATGATCATCTCAATAGACGCAGAAAAAGCTTTTGACAAAATTCAACACCCATTTATGATAAAAACTCTCCAGAAAATGGGCAAAGAGGGAACCTAAACATAATAAAGGCCGTATATGACAAACCCACAGCAAGCATAATATTCAGTGGTGAAAAACTGGAAGCATGTCCACTAAGATCAGGAACAAGACAAGGATGTCCACTTTCACCATTCTTATTCAACATAGGTTTGGAAGTCCCCTAGCCATAGCAATCAGAAGAAAAAAATAAAAGGAATACAAATTGGAAAAGAAGAACTGTCACTGTTTGCAGATGACATGATACCATACATAGACAATCCTAAAGATGCCACCAGAAAACTACTAGAACTAATCAATGAATTTGGTAAAGTTGCAGGATACAAAATTAATGCACAGAAATCTGGCATTCCTATACACCAACAACGAAAAATCAGGAAGAGAAATTAAGGAAACACTACCATTTACCATTGCAACAAAAAGAATAAAATACCTAGGAATAAACCTGCCTAAGGAGGCGAAAGACTTGTACTCAGAAAACTATAAAACACTGATGAAAGAAATCAAAGATGACATAAACAGATGGAGAAATATACCATGTTCTTGGATTGGAAGAATCAATATTGTGAAAATGACTATACTACCCAAAGCAATCTACAGATTCAATGCAACCCCTATCAAACTACCAATGGCATTCTTCACAGAATTAGAACAAAAAAATTTCCAATTCGTATGGAAACACGAAAGACACCCCAAATAGCCAGAGCAATCTTGTGAAAGAAAAATGGAGTTGGAGGAATCAGGCTCCCTGACTTCAAACTATACCACAAAGCTACAGTAATCAAGACAGCATGGTACTGGCACAAAAACAGAAATATAGATCAATGGTACAGGATAGAAAGCCCAGAGATAAACCCACACACGTATGGGCACCTAATTTACAACAAAGGAGGCAAGAACATACAATGGAGAAAAAACTGCGTCTTCAGTAAGTGGTGCTGGGAAAACTGGACCAGCTACATGTAAAAGAATGAAATTAGAACACTCCCTAACACCATACACAAAAATAAATTCCAAATGGATTAAAGACTTAAATATAAGACCAGACGCTATAAAACTCTTAATTAGAGGAAAGCATAGGAAGAACACTCTTTGACATAAATCACAGCAGCGAGATCTTTTTTGATCCACCTCCTAGAGTAATGGAAATAAAAACAAAAATAAACAAATGGGACTTAGTTAAACTTAAAATCTTTTGCACAGCAAAAGAAACCATAAACAAGACAAAAACACAACCCTCAGAATGGGAGGAAATGTTTGCAAATGAAACAATAGACAAAGGATTAATCTCCAAAATATACAAACAGCTCACGGAGTTCAATATCAAAAAAACAAAAAATCCAGTTAAAAAACGGGCAGAGGACCTAAATAGACATTTCACCAAGGAAGACACACAGATGGCCAAGAGGCACATGAAAAGATGCTCAACATCACTTATTACTAGTGAAATGCAAATCAAAACTACCATGAGGTATTACCTCATGTCGGTCGGAATGGCCATTATCAAAAAATCTAGAAACAATAAATGCTGGAAAGGGTGTGGTGAAAAGGGAACCCTCCTGCACTGTTGGTGGGAATGTAAATTGATACAGCCACTTTGGAAAACAGTATGGAGGTTCCTTATAAAAACTAGAAATAGAACTACCATATGACCCAGCAATCCCACTACTGGGCATACACCCTGAGAAAACCATAACTGAAAAAGAGTCACGTACCACAATGTCTGTGCAGCACTATTTACAATAGCCAGGACATGGAAACAACCTAAATGTCCACCAACAGATGAATGGATAAAGAAGATGTGGCACATGTATACAATGGAATATTACTCAGCCATAAAAAGAAACGAAATTGAGTTATTTGTAGTGAGGTGGATGGACCTAGAGTCTATACAGAGTGAAGTCAGTCAGAAAGAGAAAAACAAATACCGTATGCTAACACATATATATGGAATCTAAAAAAAAAGGCTCTGATGAACCTAGGGGCAGGACAGGAATAAAGGGGTAGATGTAGAGAATGGACTTGAGGACATGGGGAGTGGGAAGGGGAAGCTGGGGCGAAGTGAGAGGGTAGCACTGACATACATACACTACCAAATGTAAAATGAATGGCTAGCGGGAAGCTGGTGCATAGCAGAGGGAGATCAGCTCCGTGCTTTGTGATGACCTGGAGGGTGGGAGGGAGGGAGGCTCGAGGGAGGAGATATGGGGATGTGTGTGCATATGGCTGATTCGCTTTGTTGTGCAACAGAAACTAACAGTATTGTGAAGCAATTATACTCCAATAAAGAAAGATCTATTAAAAATAAAATGCATGCTTAAGTCTTCAAAAAACTCATTTTCCACCCTCCCACCTTTCATTTACATGGCACTTATCTTCAGAGGGCCTTAATGTGCATTAACACACATTTCAGTTAAGTTGAAAGTCACGCACTCTTTCTAAACTTAAAAATTTTATTTAAAAACATGATGCATGTACAAGAGTATATAATATGTACTGTTTAGTAAATGAAAATAGAATGCTTGTGTAGACACCAGGTAGGTTAAGAGCTTATTGCTACCACCTTAGGTGCTCCCATCATTCCTCCTCAGGTCTCGGCTCCCCTTTCTACTGCAGAGGAAACCACAGTGCACTGGGCTTTTCTTGGGGGTTACAACCATCTATATTTTTAAAAACAATATGATGGTGTTTTGCATGTTTTTGTAAAGTTAATATAAATGTATTCTGACTTAATTCATTGTCATTTTTTAAATTCATCAGTGTTGATGCATATAGCTATATAGTTTATTTAGCTGTATTTCCCTCATATTGTGTTACATGAATACACAGATATTTAGTCTGTAGGTAAGATTTGGGTTATTTCCAAATTTGGGATACTATGAATAGTGCTGCTGTAATCGTCATTGTACATGTCTCTGGGTACGTGTGTTGAGTTTCTGCAGTGTGTGTCACAAGTGAATCTCCTAGGTGGTAGGGCCAGGTGTACCTGCAAGGTCGTTGGAGAGAATGCAAAACCGTGCTCCCATCCCAGCAGTAGGTGAGGTTATTCCTCATTGTTCCATCCCTACCAGCAGCTTAATTTCTGCAGTCTGTAGTCAGTATCTGTGTGGTTTTAATTTGCATTTCCTTGATTTTTATATGATTGAACATATTTCTGTTTAAGAGCCTTTTTTATTCTATAAAATGCCTTCATGACTTCTATTTTTCTTTCAATTTATCTTTTTCTTACTAATTGTAGGAATATTTTGTATATTCTGGATACTAATTTTTGTTGGTCATATGTGCTTGCTGAATATGCTGTTAATTTTGTGTTTTCATTCTGTGTTTTTTTGTGAAGTTAGTTTTAATGTATTGGATTTCAGTCTTGATTTTTCATGATTTGCAGGCTTTGTGGCTTAGTTAAGCCACAGTTTTGTTTTTTTTTGGTAATACAGTCGATTTACAATATTGTGCTAGTTTCAGGTGTACAGCAAAGTGATTCATTTA